TCTCGCCATATCGGCCGGTATGTTGCGACCTGTGACTTGTGCTGTCGCACCAAGGCACTCCGGAGACTGCCCCACGGAGAGCTGCACCCCACGGAAACGCCCCCGGAACGCTGGCATACCGTCTCCGTCGACTTCATCGTAGAGCTCCCCGAAGCCCATGGGTACGACGCGATCATGGTCGTCGTTGACACCCTCGGAAAGCGCCCACTTCTCAGAGTGTCATACGACGGTCGATGCAGTAGGGGCAGCCCGCCTCTACTACCGGAATGTCTGGCGGCACCATGGGACTCCGGAGAAGTACGTCTCCGACCGCGGCTCGCAGTTCATCGCGGACTTCACCCGAGAACTTTGGCGTCTAATCGGCATCAAGCCCGCCACGTCCACCGCGTACCACCCGCAGACAGACGGTCAGACAGAGCGCGTCAACCAGGAGCTGGAGCAGTACCTGCGGATCTTCACCAACTACCAGCAGGACGACTGGGATGAGCTGATTCCGGCAGCGGAGTTCGCCTACAACAACCATGTTCACTCCTCCACGCAGCAGGTCCCCTTCATGACGGACACGGGACGGCTCCCGCGCATGGGCTTGAACCCGGAGTCCGTTCCGCCATGGAGTCAGTGAACGAGTTCCGCGACCGGATCGCCACTGGTGTTGCTGAAGCCAAGGCCCGCTCACTAAGGCCAAAGAGGAGTACAAGCGCTACTACGACCGGAGACGGACTCCGTCTCCGGAGTTTAAGGTTGGCGACCGTGTTTGGCTGGATGCCTCTGACATCAGGACGACTCGCCCCTCGGAAAAGTTCTCCCATCGCCGCCTTGGACCGTTCAAGATAGTCGCGGAGATCAGCAAAGGTGCCTACAAGCTCGACCTCCCTCCGCGCTACTCGAAGCTCCACCCGGTCTTCCCCGTCGTCAAGCTCGAGCTCGCTCAGGGACGACCCCTTCGACGGACGCCCGGCTACGACCAGCCCCCTCCGGACCTCGAGGACGGAGTCCCGGAGGGGAAGTAGAGGAAATCCTGGACGCAAGGGTGAGGTATAAGCGGCTGAACTACTTCGTCAGATGGAAAGGCTACGACGCATCACACACGACCAATGGGTCCGCTTCAACCGCGTCTTCGCCCGGAGAAAATTGCGGAGTTCTATCGTAAGTACCCTGGCAAGCCACGACACATCGCCTCCGCGACCTTCGACTCGATTCCGTTCCGGTCTATGCGTCGGGACGCCGCATTCAAAGGGGGGTGATGTCAGGGGAACCTCCCTCTCGGCCCCTCGGAGACGCCTCCGATTCCGGTCCGACTCGGTTCCGTCTCCGGTCCGGCCCTCCATCTCGCCCGCACAATCACCGATCCGTCAACGCCCTCCCGACGGTCGCCCTGGGACCCTGCCTGCGACGCCGCCCAAGCCTTCTGTGCCCGACAGCGGCAGCTACGGACAAGCAGTATATAGTCAGCTACCTAGCAGGCGGACCCTTAGAGTTTCTTCTCTTTGGATCCTCCCCTGCTAGGTCAGCTTCATTTGTATTCGCTTACCAATGTTCACGCTTTGGATCCTCCCCTGCTAGGACCTTGATCTCAGGCCTCCGGGGTTGCCCTTACATTACAGATGAAATGCCTGTCTATTGTACAACATCTGCACCTAAATTTCCCACTTTCCATCCCAGCGAATCACTTCTAGTTCAAAGGGTTTCGGGACTGAAAGCTGAAGAGTTGACCGTATACTGCGTGCTAGTCAAGAATGTCTGGATTGGCCGTGATACACCTCTTACTGGTCTTTCTCAAGGTCAAAAGGTTATTTTAGGACCCTTTGCTTTTCATGGTAAACGCAATGAGTCGGTGCCTGGGCCCCAGTTACTCGACTTCAGCAAGAGCAAGGGCAACTTAATAGAATAGAAGTTGAAAAAGAGAAGCCTTACAACGGCAGTACAATGGGACCTCATAGACTGGTAATACACCATTCCGGAGAGTATAAAGCCGGGCAAAGACTGTATATGGGTTTCCAAGACGGTAGCCCCTGTGATCACATTTAAGATTTTGACATTGCCTATAGGGAGGCAATAGCATATAAGCCCCTGAAAAAGGCGAGATTTACAGAGAGATAAAGATAGTAATTTATACCTAATTGCCGAACCTAAGGTTTGGCTCTATAGAATCATGTTGAAACCAGCCCCCCCATATCGGGAATGGCTGTGCATTTCTATAACCCTTTTGGGACGAGCTACGTCATATCATGTGGTGCTGGCCACGGTCTTCCTTGGCTTATTATGTAAGGTTCAGCACCTGCCGCTTGCGGCCTTATCCCTCCTCATTTATGTTCTGGTCCATACACTTTTAGGTATTCATCGACCTCTTGCTGAAGTAACAACCCCTTCCAAGTCTCAATATGATCTCTGAGAGTCTCCCATAGCAATGAGACTTCATGTGGTGAACCCACTAAAGTGGCTAGCAAATCTGCAACATCCTTTGGAAGACTAAGTGACTGGCCAGCATATTTCGGCTGATGACATAGCTTGATATAATCTCAAAGTCTTTTGACTATAGATATGTAAAGGAGGAGGTTATGCAGCTGTTCAGGTGCTGCTAGTGCCATTTGTGCAAGTTCAGAGAGAGCTATAGCCATGAGAGCTGAGAACAAGAGTTATCAAGATATCATCAAGATAAGAACGCTTTGATTTATAATATACTTTTCCTATAGGATGAATCTCACTGGTTCCTGCAGGATTGTTTCAAAATATTCCTATAGGATGAATCCTATAGTTTCCTGCAGGATTGTTCTTCCTACAGGATTGGTTTCAGAAATTTCCTACAGGATAATCACATAGTTACCTGCAGGATTGTTTCTTAGAGCTTCCTACGGGATTTTTTTTTCAAAATTTTCCTATAGGATAACTAACTATCTTCCTGTAGGATAAGTTTCTTAGTTTCCTGCAGGGTACTTTCCTACAGGCCTTCGATTTACCATTTCAGGTTACCTACAGTATATATACAGTATCCTATAGGAAGTAATGTAGGCTTCCTGCAGGAAATTCCCATGGGAAATTCCTATGGGACAGTCCCATGGGAACGTGCACAGGATTGGCACCTTTCTGGGAGACCGACGCTTGATCTGGTGATGGGCCATCAGCCATCAGCCTGTTGCATGCACACAACTGGTTGTGCCCGGGGGGTTGAGCAGGGTTCACACCAGGCAGTCAATGGGTTTGCACCAGGGATTGGCCATTATCCACATGGGCACAAGGATGCTAGTACCTGGGGAGGACTGTACAAATACCCAGGGAAGATAACCATCGCCCCCACCGGCCGGCTCCCCGGAGCACGTGGGAACTTTGCCGACTGCCATCTTTTCTAGGGTGCAGTTTTTAAATATTTGAGTATTAAAAAACGGTTTATAATTTTTGGTAGCCCAAACTAGTGTTTATAAACTGGTTTATAAACCAGGCAACCAAACATGTGATATCTTTGATGTCACGATATAAATTTTTCCAGCCTTACATTCTAGCTGAAAGGGTTGCCTTCATACCTCTTTTCTCTCAGTAACCTGTGGTACAGGTGATAATTTACTATATATAATGTACAGGACTTATAATCAATAATGTTGATCAGTTGGATCACTTAAGTCATGTGACTAGCCAGGTTTATAAACCAGAGACCTAGTGAAATCTTACTAAACCAGTGTTTATAAACCGGTTTGTAAACCAGATCAAAAAACTGCACCCTAATCTTTTCCTTCCCTTTCCATCTTCCCCTCCTCGAGCTTGCCTCGAGCATCCCTCCCGCCTCGCCAATCCCAGCTGCAAATAAACTGCCGGATCGAGCCGCTGACGCCAATGCACACGCAGAGATGGTGGCAGTCAAGGCCACTTACCTCTTCCTTCCACCTACCACTCGCAGCAGGGCTGGGTCGTGTATTGGCCGTGTAGCTGCAGCGCGGCCAGCATGACCACCACTCTCCCCCCCCCCCCCCCCCATCTTCTCCGCCAACCCAACCTCCCAGCCCACCTTCTTCTCCCAGCCGACCTCCCCGCTCGCTGCGTGCTCAAACTTGAGTCCGCGCTGGGGCGGATTCTCATGCCGCTTGTTTTCATGGCGGGCGGGCAGGTAAGGGCGGACTGGCTCCCTTCCTTGTTTGTTTGGGCCGGGTGGAGTCTCGCCCGCCACCCTGGGTACCAGCTGGCATCCGCCCAGGCACTTGTTCATGTGTGCCCGGGCCATATGGGCCGACCGATCCGGGTGGACACGGGCAAGTGCCTGGGGTCATTTTTTTGGTGGCACCAGGCACTCGTTTGGTTGTACTTGGGCAGACACAAGGGAGCGCCCGGGGGGACTGAGGCTGTCCCCCCGGGTTCTCGTTTGTCTGCACCAGGGCGGATTCTCTTCAAGTTTGGCCAGGGGTTAGATGTCATATGTGCTATGTACAGACTTTGTATGTCATGTAGGTAGTTACAATGTAATTGTTTACTTTTCAAAGCAAATTATTCATCTTGTTGCATTGCTTAGAGATGTAAGTAATGCCTATGATAGATATACCAATGAACAGTGGAATGTTTATATGCCCCAGAGGTAGAACACTATGTGTAACAGGGGCAGACAGCAAATATGCCCCCATGGAATCCTATGGCTCCCCCCGGGAATGTCATGCATGCACCAGGTGATGACCCCAGTTACCCCCGTGCAATGGTGTTCAGGTGCATGGTGCACTCGAGGGAAGGTGTATGCGACAGGCCTGTCTCATGGCCGATGGCCCATCACCAGATCAAGCGGTATTCTGGAGCGCTGAGCAGACAATCATCGACTTTCAAGTTGAGCAGCTTCAAGGTCAACTTTCACCGGTACTGCTATATATGAGGAGAGTCCCTACAGTATTCGCGATCCAAAACGCTGAGTCTGGTCATGTAGTTGATTCAGTTGAAACGATTACTAAAACTATGACGCGTCTCAGGCTAAATAAGTTCTTCAGTAGACATCTGAACCCGACGATTCCAAACGCAATTTATTGAACAATCTAGGATCCCTGCGACATCTCCCTCTTCTTCATGAACGTAGAGGACGGCAACTCCCATGGGTGCACTCCATACAACGCATCATCACGTTCGTCCTGTTCGGGGGTTAGCATCTCCAAATGAAGCAAGCGGAGAAACACCCACCCTCCAGTCATACCGATACCCGCCGAGCTTTTGGCGGTCTGCTTTGTGTTTGGGAGTGGCAGCGGTGTCCCAGATCTGTTCGCGGAGCTGCTGGGGAGGTATCGCCTCAACAATGCTACGGAGGCGTTCCAAAGCTTGTGTGGGCGATATGCGCTGGGTGGGCTCGGCCACCGTCATCCCGTCGGCCACTGGACGGAAGATCTCCAAGTCGAGGTAGCACTGATAACGGTTAAAGCATCACGGAATTTTACTTAAGGGAGAACAGACATAGATGATTTTATGAATCGTCAACCCAAGCTGGTAAATGTCGACGGGGAATGGGTTGTAGGACACATTGTCGGACAGCTCGGGGATCTCCGGAAACGTGCGCAGCTTTCCTTTGACCCGCGCCGTGTCTTTGCCGTTTGGGAAGCGGTGGGAGAGGCCAAAGTCGATGTAGTAGTACGGGACCGGCCCGACGGCGCACCGGTCTCGCCAGCGGAATAGACCGGGGTGCCCCTGATGACTTCTGCTTTCGCCAAAATGTGAGCCCTCGGGGACCACACGCGACTCGTCCATAAGCATGTTCTTCCGCGCTATATCCCTTTATGAATTTATTCATGGGCTCATTTGGTAGGGAAGGAACTTGAACAGCCTTACAAATGTGCAATGTTGTGTTCGTGCATGAACTCCAAGCCCTACAACAGAGATAAATCAGAAAAAACAGGCTTGAACTTCAGAAGTGAGCTTTACCTCTATATACTGTGTCATGCACTCGACGAATTCAAGACGACAGTGGAATGGCGGATAGTCGATTTCGCGCGCATAGGGGGTAACGAGGAAGCTCCAGGGAGTGTCGGGCATAACCATGACATCGAGCAGCGGAATTGTGTGGTTTCTGGGGTCGCTGCGCAGCTCGGGCGAGTCCAGGTATCGATGAATCGTCGCTTCGCGGCTGTTGGTAGGGAAACGCTTGACCACCACCTTCGTGTTGTCTGACACACGGACGGCGTCCAGGGCATACAACTGTGTGGTGATGTTTTCTTTAGTGGTCCACAGCTTAGCAATTGACGAACGACGAAGCTATGCAGATCATCTTCTCTGTCCATGGCTTTCTGGGTCGTCCCAAATTTCCACCACTTGCGTTTCACCGGGGCGTTCCAGTAGAGAGACCGCCATTTAGGGTTGTACCGTGGACGAAGCATATATCCGTGCTGTAGAAGAAAAGGCTGGTATTCGACCCATTGCTTCTCTGAATCGAACAAGTAAGGATGTAGTTCGTCTGGTTCTTCCAAGTTCAAAGACATCAGCAAGTTATCCGTTGCATTGAAACCTAGACATCAGTTAGTATGCCCTCAAGAAATCCCAATACCATTTTTTTTCTATCATAAAGTATTACAAGTAGTACGCTGAGAGTTCGTTAAAAGAGCAGCGAGTTGAGTCGCCGCGATATTTTGTGGCGGACTGTCTGGAAAGGGGGTATGCGGGTAGGAGGTATGAGTGTGTAGATGTAAGGATGGCTGGTAGTACAGAAATGCGCGGTTGAAGGCACTAAGAATACACGGTACAATGGAATGCAAAACCGAACGAGGGAAGGATAACATGGCGAACGTTGGGCCAATGCGAGAAAAGTCTAGATGATGTCCCAGAGATCTTCCAGAGCACAGCAGAACTACAGGAGTTTCAGAAACAGACGATCAAAATTAGATCGGGCAAACCTTTCCGCATGCAACACTCGCACTCAACGCATACTCGGAAATACTGATCTTCTCATCGACATAGGCGTCAGCAAAATCGTCCCGCCCTCTGGCCATCGCGCCAACAAAAACAGCAATCGAATGTGTTGTTGGCAACGCTTTGAGATACGTCGATAGTTTTACGGTCGGTGCATCTCCAGACAGCGTAAGTTTGATAGTGTTAGGTGGGAGATGGTCGATGACAGGATTGCGGACAACTTTCAGCAGCTTTTCTGGGCCGTTGACGCCACGAATGCTGAGTTTGTGGAGGAGCTGGACCATCAGGCCAGAGAATCGCTTGAAGGTGCGTGGAATGCGGACAGATGGATTGACCTCGATGAGGACACCTTTTGCGGTATGGATGAAGACCTGCAACAGGCCTGCCTTGTTCAGCGGGGAGTCGAGGAGGGTCAAAAGACATTGGTGGGTGATGTCTGGCCGGGCATCGGCAATGTCGCGACCAGTTTTGGCCAGGATGCCTTGGTGATCGTCGCAATTGAGCAAAGTGTATTTAACTTCGGTTTCGCCTCCAGGACCACGTTTCGATTTCGAGGAAGAAGGGCCAGAAAGGCGGTATGCCTCGAGGCACGCTTGCTCGAGAATTACATAGAGTCGTCGCTGGCTGGAGGCAGCTGCAATTCCAGAGCGGGGGACATGGGCCTGGACGGGCAGCATGGATGGGTTGGCTGGCGGTGGCGGGAGCTGTGGATTGTCCATTTTTCGGGCGGGAAGTTTTCGTGTCGGTCTGTCGGGTAATGGGAGCCCACGCTGAAGAATAGTTATGCCCTTTTTGGAGACGGGCGCTTGAATCTCGTCTTCTTCGTCTTCTTCTGGCACGGGTGGCTCGGGGTCTACAGTGTCCTCTAAATCGCTGCCGTCGTCGTCACCGTGAGGTGGACTTTTTTGTCGGCGCCGTTGTGTGGGGCGTTCGCCTGGAGTACTTTTTGGTCTTGGGGGAGGGTCTAAAACGGGATGAAATGGATTTGTTGGCGAAGACGAAAGAGATCGGCGGCGGCGACGTTGAGAGGGAATAGGAACGGGGTCGATGGTCATGGAGGTGTGAAGCAGCGAGGCAGCTAAGCGATTCCCCACGAGATTGGAGAAATCGAGAGCAAGCCGTGACAAAAAACGAGTCACGCGGAAAAACTATGCTGTCACTCCGCCAATTCGCGCGACTGCGACGAATACCTCTGCATCATGCTCGTTCGGTCGTGTCCCAGTCTGTGTCAGACAAGTCGACAGCTGATAATGCACTCGGCGCTCTCGGGCTAGACGACTCTATTGCGCCCACGGTCAAAGCAGAAGAACCAGTCGAGGACTGGATGTTACTTCAGCCACTTGACACCAATGGTCGGGGCCGTCGTCGCGAGCCGCTGCTCAATATTCCACCGCCAGAAGACCCTCTCCTTCATCTCCTCGCTTCAATGATCATGACCCACGGGGAACGCGCTAAAGCCAATCGCATTGTCTCGAATACTCTCCTTCACATCTACACCCTCACTCGGGCGCCACCACTCCCAATTCTGCGCCAGGCGGTACTATATGCATCTCCAGCCGTCAAGACGATGACGAGGACCCATGGCGCGAAAATTGTGCATACGCCGATAGCTTTGAGCGAGAAGCAACGGACGCATTATGGTATCAGTATGCTGCTAGAGGCTGCAAAAAAGAGAACTGGAAGGAGGCTAGAGGAGAGATTGGCCCGGGAGATGGTGGACATCCTACAAAAGGTGCACACCTCCATAGAAGCCAACCAGCGGTCGGGCAACGTCAGCTGGGGTGGCGCGTTGGACAAGAAGATGGAGCAGCATCGGTTTGCAATGGTCAACAGGTGTGTGGTATCCTTTTTTGTATCCAATCAAGCTGACAGAAAGCAGAGGAGGCGTCAGAATCGCTCCAGGAGCTATGAATGCAGCGGCAATTGCCCAGGCAGCGTAGAGTGGCTCCCTTCTCTGTCCAGCTCTTCATACGTGTACAACCAGTTTTTAATAAACATCTTATCATACAAGTTCTGTAAATTTTCCAGAATGCTCGGATGATGATGATAACGATCAAACTCGAACACGTGATCGTTGATCCACCTCTTCCTCTCCGACTGTACTTAGCGTACCTCTACGGGCGGCACCCACATGCCTGCCGAGAATGAGTAAGCTTAGCTATCCTCATCTCTGGCCTCTGATATTCATTGCAGAATGCATGCCTCGGAGTTTACCCCAGAAGACGATCAACACTTGGCAAAGTTCCTTGCGACGCATGAACGCGGCAGGACTGGCCAGAGACTGTATGATCGTTTGGTAGAAAATGTGCGTAGCACGCATACTAGTTTGTTCTCGATGGACTGACGCTGCGCTACGCTAGCCAGATAAATGGCCGTGGGCGGCGCGACATTCGAGAGTGAGCTGGAAGGCACGCTATCGAGAGAGGAGACAAGAGCTCGATGAGCTCATAGGAAAGTATCTCCGCTCCAAATCGAAAGCAGTCGCCGCTTCTTCCAATGCCAAGGCTTCGTCCTCGAAGAGACCTCCTCGGTGCGTAGTGCCTTGGTCAAATTACCAGCGCTCACTTCTTGGTAGAGTCTGGTTCACGCAGGAGGATGAGGAACACTTCGCGCACTACCTTGCAGAACACTGTCCGACTAACCAAGGTCGTCATGCAAAAAAGCTGTACGAGCAACTTTGCGAAAACGTGAGCGGCACCACACCACTTTTCCTCTCGTCTTCAACAGCATATATCCACAGACAGACAACCAGTGGCCCTGGGCACAACGGCATCCACAAAGAAGCTGGTATCATCTTTATCTCCGACGCCAGGAACGGTTTAACGAGCGAATTTCGGAAATTCAGCTCACGAAACGGGGGAAACGTGTTATGGAGGTGTACATTGAATCACGAACTGATGACGCAAAAATAAAGAAAGCTACTCCACGGCTATTGCTTGCAGAGGAAGAGGAGGAATCTGGCTCGGATACTAAACAAACACTAAAGCCCGAAGATCCACAGGCACCCACCGCTTCCCTCCCGCTCGTAGAAGTTCTTCAAGAATCCCAATCAACGTGAGTCAAGTCCCACTTTTACTTTCACAAGTCTATCCTCAATGACACACTTTCTTTCAGTGACGCATCCCAATCTCAAGACTCCATGGAAGTGGACCAACTCCTAAGCGACGACGAGAACAGTAATAACTCCTCAAAAATCATTTCTGGATCGCTACATCCTGTCTGCTTGGAGGAACCCGACAGCGAAACCCGGTCCTCAAAGACTATTAGCACCAAACCTCCGATTAGACCTGATCGTTCTCCCCTGGACCAATTGCGCTGGATGAGTCCGGAGAAGGATGAAATGGATGATTCGGTTTGTTCTGACCAGACTAGCTCTCATCAATCCGCCCCGAATGGCCCTATAAAACCGACTTCAGAAGTAAAAGCTGACATTTTAGTTTCAAGTATATTCACGTTCGTCGAGCGTTCTCTTTCCTTTTCTGCTTCTGACATGCTTGGTAGAATTAAATGTTCTCAACAAGAGAACGCCATTGCGTCGTCCTCAAAGCTTACCCTCTCAAGATTCACACCTGCTTCAGCCACAGCAAACCAAAAACGAGACTTTCCAATAACGTCGCAGCCCGATTCAGGCAGTGCCTCTTCACGTACTGCAGACCTGCGGCCTGAATCTATTGCTCCGCTCTCTCGTTCCTCTGTTCCGATCATTGGCGTATCAGCACTTGGAGAACGAACGAACCAAACCCCATCGTCTTTCCTCACACTAACAGCGCCAGAATGGCACGAGTCGAGTTCAACCTCTTCTCGTCCAGCCGGGACAGAGACCAACGATGCATCGTTGTCATCCCGCTTAGAAGGGGGAAAAGACTCCGCGTCTGCCCGGCCCCAAGAGCTGAATATTTCCACCCCATCTGAACAACCCGAGTTCGACTGGCAAGAGTTTTTATTCTCTGAGAAGACGCAACAAAATGTCGATGTGTTGTTGGATCCGACAACGATGTCACCACCTCGCCCTCGCCCAGATCGACATGCTCAAGTGGCAGTATACGAGCCTACGCCATTATTCTTCAAGGAGAAGGGGCGAAGGACCAGAGTACGGCGCGATCGACGCAGGGAGATTGAAAATCGACGCCCAAGTTGACTGGGATGATTTAGGCTTTTTCTGATGCGTGGCCAAGCCCGAAACTGGTCTTGTGATATGGCTGGGCAACGTGTTTTCAGCGATGGAGGCCGTTGTTTGTGCCGGTCTGTTTAGCAAATAGCAATGCTTCTAACTTAGCGTCTGGGTTGCTGGGGATTGATCGTTGGGGATGAGGTCGCTACCTTGTCTTTACCACACGAAAATAGTCTTTGTTTGTACATAAGTATGTAGGAATCCGAGTGTTCCAGCTCGAGCTCGTAAGGAAGCGTGTGCAGTCATGTGGCGACCATAAAAATCGAGTCGAATGCCAGTGTGGGTGTCGGATGAGAGCCGTTGGAAGTGGGGAAGATGTGTTGCGACGTAACGATAATTTTCGCGTTTCGGCATGCCCAGAAATCCAAATTTGGAATTTCTCTCTTTCCTCTCTCCCTTCATGGCGATGTTGCTTTCCCTACTGGCGTACGCGTCTGTTCCACTAATCGCCCTCCAATACATTCCTTCCGGCCGGAATTTGACTCGCAGGGTCGCGTATGTGGTTTCTATGAGCCTTTGTGGGTTAATGGGCCTGCCCTACCTTGTGGTCATGTTACCCGTGGGGCAACGGTACAGCGTCCATTGGGCTGTCGCGCGGACTTTCTACTATGTTGCTGGCGCAATCTTCGGTCTACGTGTCGAAATAGAAGGGGAGGAATACTTGCGGGACACAAACGATGGCGGGGCGTTACCGGCAATTCTAATGGCAAACCACCAGAGCATGCTCGATATACTCCCTGTTGGAGGGTGCGCAACCCTATTCTGTCCCCGGATTGGCTAACTGCTTCCCCCAGAACGATGCCGAAGCGAGCCTCCATCATGTCGAAAAAATCCTTGCAGTATACGCCGTTGGGTCCCTTCATGTTGCTCTCCGGGGCCGTATTCGTCGATCGGGGCAACTCCGCAAGCGCGTTGCGCTCCCTGGACTTGGCCGTGCAAAAAATGCGGGAGAACCGACTTTCCCTTTGGCTATTTCCCGAAGGGACCCGACATAGCACTGAAGCGCCGACCCTGCTTCCGTTCAAGAAAGGCGGCTTCCATCTTGCCATCCAGTCCGGCTTGCCCATTATTCCGGTCGTGTTTGAGAACTACTGGCATCTTTACCACAAGGGCGTGTTCGACAGCGGTGTTATTCGTGTTAAAGGTGCGATTTAATGGCATCCACTCTTTCCTCTGACACACCCGCAGTTCTCCCACCCATAAAAACAACTGGGCTCACTGTTGCCGACATTCCCGATCTCTGCACTCGTGTTAGAGAGCAGATGCTCACCACACTTATCGACATCTCTCGGAAAGTTCCATCTCCTTCGCAAGAGGCCAAGGACTCAACCTCATCGACGTTAATCACTGGGCAACCCGACGATGCAGCTGTTGACGCAGCTAACGCCCCGAAAGACGCGACACCGACTGTGCCTGTTGTTCCCAGTCACGAGTCTTTGGCAAGTCTCGTTAGCGGTAGCAATACCACTGCGTCAACTGGCGGTGGTGAGACGGAGGATGAAGATATGGTTGTGGTCAAGCGACCCAACTAGACGCGGAGATCTTGCATAACCATTCATTACAAATACTTAGGAGGGGGGTACAGGCTTGATCTGTAGTGTAATAATAAACCTATTGCTGTTGAAGCTTGTCACGGTCCTGAGCCCGACAACCAACTTAGAGGGGCGAGATTCTAGTATGTGTTGTATTGTGAAGGCATTGTGGCTGGCATGACAGGGCCGGCGAGCGGCCCGTTCTGTGACGTTTCTCTTTACTCTCTTTACCTCATGGTGGACACACAAAAGCTGCCTCCTGACGAGCGAGTACAATAGATGTCACCACAAAAGAGACTCCACGCGCTCTGCTCAGTTTGGCTGCATCCCCTGGGACCATTGGCGGAGTCGATTTCGTTTCTTTGCCGGGGTTGAATCGCGGCCTTGATGAAAAGGTTCCCAAGACTCAGGATCGACATACGGGAGAGCGGTGGGAGATGAAGGATGGTGTTTGGACGTTGGTTTTGGTTCTGGATGGTGAGCCAACTCCGCTGGTCTGGTCATTCAAGTTGCTTGCCCAATGCATCTCATTCTCTAGGTCATCTTGAATGCGCTTCGGCAGAATTCATGCTCGAGATGCTTCCCTCGACGATCAAACGGGCTCTGGAGTCCGTAATAGAGAGCTCAGACCCATTGGAGGACCAAGACATTGCGAAAGCTCTTTCGGAAAGCTTGATCTCCTTGGACAACAAAATAAAAGACGATTTTCTTGCCCTTCTCCCAGCCGACCTCACGGATTTTGACGCGGCCACGGCCTTGAAAGATGCGGACGGCAAGCCTCTTATTGAAGTTCAGCGCGCTATGACTGGAACCACTGTTGCTGTCGCTCTTATCGACCCTCGCAAGCGCATTCATGTCGCAAGTGTAGGAGACTGTGATGTCTGTATGTGAAAATTTTCTGATTCTCGTGAAATGGTCTAACAGTGCTAACGACAGTTCTTTGCTCTTCCAACTCAGAAGAAGAATGGACTTGCTCCGTTCTGAATACTCATCATCAGTGCTCTAACCCAGACGAATGTGCTCGGATTATAGCGGAACACCCCAACGACCCAGAATGCGTTGACATGAACCATCGGTCCGGAGTTCCTCGACTCCTTAGCATGCTGGTTCTGAGTCGCGGTATGTGTTGGTCCCATCGTGGTATTTTTTTCCCTTATCTTGTTTTCTGCAGCAATCGGAGACATCTACGGGAAAATCCCGAGGGAATTTGTCAGGGTTCTCGAGCTGGGATGGGGACAAAGCACGGTTCCCGATTTATCGCAAATCAAAACACCGCCCTACCTTTCCAACAGACCGGATGTCGTGCATACCAAGCTTCCTGGACAACAATTCCTCATCGTCGCGACAGACGGTCTCGATAATCTCATGCGACGACATCAGCACCTTCGGGAGGTGGAGCAGTCGGTTCTCGGTGTGAGTCTTGCGCCTGCCGTTGCCAAGGCTCAGTTGGCTGGGGAAAATCTAGCGGAAGCGGTTCTTTGGGAAGCCACGGGAGGTGACGCTATTGGAAACATTTCCGAGGGCTGGCTTTTGGGTACCTTCAATGGACGTTTGGATGACATTACCGTTGCGGTCGTTCCTTTGTAAAACGCATAAATAGACGTCTACGGTATCTACAGTTTGAATCACCAAATGTAGCCTGTTTTTTTTGGAAAGAGGACAAATCGTGAGAAGTGGACATGTGATCAGATTTCCCTTGCTTCTCCCCTCCACCCACTCTTTTTCCAGATGCGCAGAGGCCAACTACTACTACGAATTTGGAGCATGCGACACAGCCTGGGTCCTTTTCCGCGTCACGATCACGTTCTGCCGCTATGAAATGGGCGAGATTTCCGTGTGGGACCTTGAGGTGACAAATCGTGACATCGACTTCGCCTTCTGCTCTTCTTCCGTCCGTCCGCAAGTTTCGATTGGTCGCATTTGGTTCAGCATATTCCTTGCGCTCCGGCATATCCTAACTTGATATTGCGCTTCACCCTCGACCTCGTTAACACGATGAATCAGCATCTGACAGGCTGAGCAACTGTCTCAGCGCCACGGGCGGGTCCTCTCTTTTCCTCGGTCTGAGACGGATGTATCCCTCCCCCGTTTAACCGGACGAAAACTGCTTTAAAGCCCTCACGCTCGTGAGGCTAACTCATTCACTAAACACAACATGTCTCCCAAATTCGCCAAAGACCAGCCGACTGGATTCGTTAATCGTGTTGAGAAAGTCGCCATCGTTGGGGTCAGCACTTTGTTCTTCTTTTCTGTCGCTGTCTCAATGCTATTATTATCCAGGCTGGCGGTAGTATTGGCTCTTACTTCACCAAATCGCTTCTCGCGACCGGAAAGCATCAGGTCACCGCATTGGCGCGTGCTGGGAGCTCGGCAAAGCTAGCGGAAGGAGTGCATCGGGTCACCATCGACTACAACAACGAATCTACTCTCGTGGAGGCTCTCAAAGGCCAGGACTTCCTCGTCATCACCCTCGGAATCGGCGCTAGACTGGACGGCAACAACGCAGAGGCCAAACTCGTCAATGCAGCTGCGAAAGCTGGCGTGCCTTATGTCATGCCCAACGCCTATGGCCCGGACCCGCTCAACGCCAATCTGGTCGGCGACACTTTCACTTCTACGAGGGATGTTATTGAAGAGTTGGGCGTCAGCAGCTGGATTGCGCTGTCTACTGGCTTCTGGTACGAGTGGTCGGTCGCTTGTGAGGGCTATGACCGTTTCGGAATCGACTTTGATACGCGGACCGTAACATTCTTCGACGACGGGAAGGAGATCGTAACAACCTCGACTTGGGAGCAGTGTGGTCGGGCTCTGGCGAGCTTACTCAGTCTTAAGAGGCTTCCTGAGGACGAAAACGACAATGGCCCGACTGTTGACACGTGGGCCAACAAGGTTGCATATATTTCCAGCTTCAACGTCAGCCAGAAGGACATGTTTGAATCAGCTAAACGTGTCACGGGGACCTCTGATAAGGATTGGACGGTCGAGTATGTCAAGTCGGAGACGCGGTATAAGGAGAGCGTGGAGGCAATGAAGAAGGGCGACATGGCTGCTTTCGTGCGGCAGCTTTACACCCGCGTGTTCTTCCCGACTGGTGAGGGGGACCATTCCAAGCATGGGTTGGCGAATGCAGTGTTAGGTCTTCCTGAGGAGAACATTGACGAGGCAACGAAAGAGAGCTTGCGGTTAGTTAAGACTGGTGTGTTAAGTTACGCCACTCGTGGATAGATAGAAAGTTGTTGTATTATTATGCGCTGGTCTTCCAGACGAATGCATCTTGAATGTATCTGCCTTACATAAATCAAGCTGACTTCTGGATTTGTCCATACTCTGAAATTGATGACCCTGGCACAGTCCACGTGACAACTTCAGAGCTAGCGGTCAACCATCATCCTGCTTCAAGTTCATCTATGCCTGCCAGTGCATGATTCATAGTGCTTGCCCCGCACGTAGGAGAAGACCTCAATTTCCACTCACCGTAACTCACAATGCACTGGCCAAATTCACGCATTTTCTACGACATTCTGACCCAGTCTGCTTCACCCGGGTTCGAGATTCATGCACGGGCTCTCCTCGAGGAAGCAGAACACCAACTATCCTTGACAAATGCGCAGCCCGATCCTCTAGGTCATGGTCACGGGCAAACCCACCAGCAACTCGTAGCTCGGATTGCTGCTCTCAAATACGCGCTTTCTCCCGTCCGGAGACTACCCGCAGACATTCTTCTAGAAATCTTTCAGAGAGTGGTACCCTTAAATAACTCTCCCAGATTTCCCTACTGGTTTTCGTCTCCGAATACGCACTTTGACTGCGTCTTGCGGCTGGGCTCTGTCTGCTCATACTGGCGGCAGCTCATCATAACCGCGCCGCGTCTATGGCCCACAAGTATGAGCCTCAATGGATACAAACCCTCTTCATATGTGGATATCACTCGGCGTTTACTCCAGCACTCAAACCCACACCCTGTTGACATCACCATCGTAGGCTGTGCCTTGCGTTTGTCTGCGTCGTTGCAATCACATGTCACATTCACCGCCATAAGCATGGCTCATCGTTGGCGGCGGATCTCTGTGGAGTGCGATATTGTTCCTTTCCTCAAGGCTGTCCCATCATCAGGACCACTCTATCACTTGACTGAAATTGACCTCAAAGGCTTGCGATGGAACGAAAACGACAAGCCGTCGGCTTTCTTCCTGAATGCCCCCTTGTTAACCCACGTGAAGCTGGAGACGTCCCATCCCGTCAAGTTGCTGCTACCTTGGTCTCAGCTCACCAAACTCGAATTGGAGACTGTCGTTGGGTCTTCGGGGTTCCTGACGATTCTGGAGCAATGCATTTCCATGGCTGACCTTGGGTTGGAGGATATTATCTGCGAAGAAGTCGGTGTCTCCTATGCGTCTCTCCAGCAGCCCGATATGTCTCTGCTTGACATCGTTTCCCTGCCGCATCTGCGCGACTTGAAGGTCAACATGTTTGATTATGGAACATTCGAGCCTTTTTTTTGCCATTTCAGATTTCCTTCTTTACGAAAAGTTGTCATCCAGGCTATGGCAGGAATGGGACCTGACTTCGATGTATCCTTTCTGTCGTTTCTCCAACGATGTTTTGCTCTCGAGCACCTCGAAATTTTTGGCTGTGACCTTAACAGCACATTACTGGGCGAAATTCTCCTCTGCATTCCCTCGCTCACCTACCTCAATCTCCACTGCTGTTTCTACGGTGTAGACGACACCTTCTTTGAGCGGCTAACATACCGCGCTACGGACCTCAACCCGCCAGCACCCTGCCTTCAACGACTTCGTCTTGAAAGCGTTGGGCCTGGGGATCATTTTAGCGAAGATGTAATCCTAGCTATGGTCCGCTCGCGCTGGTGGACAAAGGATACTTTCCAAGCACTACCATTTCCGCCACACGTCGCACGTTGGCAGTACATACATATTTCGGCTGACGACTCGGGCCTCAAGGCGCCGCTTTCAGACGAGTTCAAGACCATAGTGGCGGAATTTCGCGCTGAAGGACTGACGTGTGAAGTCTTCCGCGCCCGGCAGTAGCCGCAGTACGACTAACAAAACACCGAAATGAAGCAATACTAATACGGACGAGTCGCTTGGCTGACGCCCAATTCATTTTCCAATTTCCTCTCATCAATTGGAGATGGGCCAAGATTGTATTGTGAATTTTTCCAAAATCCGGGCCTGTTTCTGAACATCTTCGTTACCTATATAACCACTAGTAGTAGGAAATTTACAAAGGTCCATTCACTTGTGACAACTTGAAGCCAACCACTTAACCACTTCGGAGTGTTAACACCCGGGTCAAGCGCTCACCCCGCAAGCTGGCACGCTATAGAGGCAGTTACTGTATCATTGCGAAATCTAACTCCTGAGGCCGATGTCCTGGCCATGGCCCGCTCGCGCTGGTGGACGAACACTGTGTTCCGGCAGCCCCTGCGTGATGCGTGTTGGCAGGAAATATTTCTCTCCGATGATCCTGCATCTCTACCACGTTTGCGGCCGCAGTGGCGGAGTTGTGCCTTGAGGGATCGATCTCAATCTAGGATGTTTAGATTCATTATTCCCAATATGACCACACGTTATAAAGATCTTCATTGCGCTTTCTCTGCCGCTCCAGCAAGCAGCCACCTCAGTCCCACACGATAGTCTTCATTCCATTTACGCTGCACCAAATCTCGTCAGCCTCTTGCGGCGAGAAGACCAGGACAGAATACTCACGGCTTCTGAAACGGTGGGGTAGAAATACGAGAAGCCGTGGGGAAGCCCCGGATAGCTGCAGACCAGTTATCAACCGTTCCCGAATGAGCGGGTATACATGCCTGGTGACTTTCGTCTTGACGCCCGCTTTGATGAGGAGGTCATTGTACAGAAAGGCCTCGTCACGGAGAGGGTCGAGTCCGCAGATTTGGAGGACGGCAGGGGCGAGCCCGTCGTGGCTGGCAAGGAGCGGAGAGAGGTCAGGTGACGAGGGAGATGCGTCGCCAGCCAACTTGTCTGTTTTGAAGTCAGCCATTAGCCGTTTGTAAAGTGGAACGCACCCCAGTACTTGTTGAGTGCTTCCGTGGACAAGATCGGCGCGAATTTGTTCTGCTCCGGTGATAATAGCTGACTTTTATACCTAGAGCGGGCATTTAGGCATATGGCTGCAAGATGGTTTCCACCTACTCTTCGGGAACTTGGGCAGCGTAGTGTAAAGACGGGGGGATCTGAAGAAGGTGGCCTGTGACCGGTCGTTGGCTGAAGAACGGGTCATCCCGAGCGCGATGCGCCAGAACGCCAACGATATGGGCCCCAGCTGACATGCCGCCCAAGACGAGTCCTTTCTTGACATCGGCCCGGAGGAGTTGGGCATTCTCTACTGCCTAGGCAAATTTGAACAGCGTTTACTTTGTTGTAATCAGAAACGCACCCATTTCAGCGCGGTGTAACTGTCGTTCACTTGGGTTGGATGGTGATAGACGGGGGCAAGGCTGGGATATATTCACAACTGCTAAAAGCCCGTTGATGATGATAACGCACCGATAGTCGACGCTAACGATGCTGACGCGGAGTTCATGAGCGATTGCACGCAATGGGTAGTCGTCGGTATCCAGATTGCCCGCAACCCAACCGCCGCCATGGGCCCAGAAATACAACGGAAACACTTCGTCTTCGTCCGTGGGGGTGGGGATGACACTGCGGAGAAGGATTTCGCCATTCTCTACGGCAATTTTCTAGTCCTTGACAGCGTATTCGGAGTCTACTCTGGTTGTCAGGTGCATGACACGAACACGAAACGACCACACCTTTGGGTAGCGTGCTTTCATGGGCCTTCCGCGCCCCTTCATTCATCCAATTCGTCAAAAAGACCCTCTGCCCTTCGACATCGTCGTCCGCTGGTATGTCCGCTGGTGGGGGTGTTTGCAACAGTGGGACCAGCTCCGGGTCGATTTCGGATAGGTAGGCGTATTGAGACATTTTCGTGTGGTTCAGCTGGTCGAGCAAAAGAGCGCGCAACTGGCGCCTTTTAATACTTCACCACCCAATGTCACCCATTGAGTTCATCGGTCCGTGTGGGACAATCCGCTGAGTAACCGGGGCTTCCATCTTGCGAAGATGAATAGGTTGTGCGTCTGTTTGTCATATGAAATATGAAGCGCACCTAGTAGTGGCTGGGTTTGCTTTCTAAGTGCGCCTTCAATGGATTATTCAACCGGGTGAAGGTTGTTACAGTGTCGTCTTGCTGCCTGATTCTACTGAGCCTTGAGCTTAGACGGACAGTCAGTCAGTCTCATGGACACTGTTGGAGAATTGTCGCCCCCGAGAACAAGTAGAAGTCAAGTAGAAGTTGAAGAGCAAAGCGCGCGCGAGCGATCGGCGTCACGTCGATGCTCGGTGATGGGCGATCTTGGCGATCCTCTCCTTGTAACTGCCAAGCCTATTCCCGACTTTCACCAACATTGACAACCAAGTATTGACAACAACAACCAGAAAAATGCATGGTTGGAATGACTCAACGTATTCAACGCTGATTTTGCATACCGACCCATGGTCATTCCGTTCAAGTATGGTCACTGGCATTAGCCCGATCGTGCAACCGTGACGCGGCTCTTGGCTCTGAGTGTGACGAGTCTGACCTTGTTGAAGGTTTTTCCGCCAAGCGCTCACCGGCGCTCACCCTTGACAGAAACGCACTCGATCCGAAACCCGGAACCGGGAGTCATCACAGTGTCCTAGTACTAGTAATGCACTGGCCAAACTCACACATCTTCTACGACATTCTGGCTCAAACCGCTTCACCCGGGTTTGCAATTCATGCGCAATCCCAACTCGAGGAGGCAGAACAACAACTCACTCAAATGACCGCGCAGACTGACCCATTATGTCAAGCCAGCCAGCAACTCGTGGCTCGGATTGCTGCGCTAAAATACGCCGTTTCTCCTATTCGGAAGCTACCCGCAGACATTCTTTTGGAGATATTTTCGAGAGTCGAAGATGGACATGATTGGTCACGATTTCACCACTTATCCACAAACGCACACTTCCGCCACGTATTCCGACTGGCCTCCGTCTGCTCATATTGGCGGCAGCTCTTGTTAACGGCGCCGCGCATGTGGCCGACGACTGTGGCACTCCAAACGAGTGGTTTCATCTCCTTTCCTCAACACTTCGATGTCGTTAACACATTGCTTCAGCGGTCGAACCCATACTTGCTGAACATCACAGTTGATGGCCTTCGCCGGGACGTTGGAACCTACTTGCATTCGCTCGTCATATCCATCGCCATGAACGTAGCTCATCGTTGGCGGAGTCTACGAATGGAGTTCGATTTCGTTCCTTTTCTCAGACATGCACAAACACCGGGTCCACTCATTCACTTGACTGAAATCAGCCTCCACGGCATGGACTGGAATGAAACAGACCAACCATCAGCATTCTTTCTAGATGCCCCCAAGCTAACCCGTGTGTTGCTCAGAACATCCAATACTACCAAGCTTCTGCTGCCTTGGTCACAGCTCACCAAACTCCACTTAGAAGGTGTCGAATCCCCAGGATTCCTGGCCGTTCTGGAGCAATGTATTTCCGTGGTCAATCTTCACTTGGTGGGCTATATCTGTGACGAAGATGCCATTGCCACCTCCGCCCTGTCCGCCACCGTCTCTCTAGTGTATCTCACCCATCTACAGCTATCGGTGACAGAGGACCATTGCACATTCGATCCCTTGTTTCGCCATTTTACATTTCCGTCCCTTATCAACCTCAACCTCAACCCCGCCGACGCACTGGCAGATGATCTGCTCGAATTCGAAATCGGAGATTTCTTTCCCTCTTTTCTAGCGCGGTGTTCTGCGCTCCGAAACCTCACCATTCTTTCCTCCAATATGAATGAAACCGCTTTGGATGACATCCTCCGCAATATTCCATCGCTCACCAGCCTCACACTCAGCGCCTGTTTCAACTGCGTTGACGACGCCTTCTTTGAGCGGCTGACTTACCGTGCCACGGACCTCGTTCCGCCAGCACCGTGCCTCCAACGGCTCCATCTTGAATCTGTCACTGATCGTTACAGTCAAGATGTCGTCCTGGCTATGGTCCGCTCGCGCTGGTGGACGGATGACACACTGCTCCCAACTCCACGCGTTGCACGCTGGGAACGCATATATATCTGCGGCTGTTTTCCACCCGAAGTGGTACTTTCGGACGCATTTAGAGCTGCAATGGCGGAACTGTGCAGTGAGGGACTGGTTTTCGAGGTCAAAGAACGGCGATGAGTACCCCCACTACAAGCAGCTAGATTCTAATAGGTTGTGTTTGTTTGTCATATGAAGCGCACCTGTGTCGAGTAGGGTTTGCTTTCTAAGTGCGCCTCCAATGGATTATTCAACCGGGTGAAGGGTTATTGCAGTGTCGCCCTGTTGCCTGATTCTGCTGAGCCTTCAGTTTAGAAGGGCAGTCAGTCTCATGGACACTTTTGGAGAATTGTTGAAGTAGAAGTCGGGAACGTGGGCCAAGTTAGGCCTAGCTCGTTGAGAGCGATCAGGAGCCTGCGATCGGCGGGATGTCACGTCACGTCACGCGTCGGGGATGCGCGACGACTGCCAAGCCTGTTCTCGACTTCACCAGTAATGGTGGAATGACTCAACGTGATTTCGCCATGCACCTCCCACCATCCGTCATCCCATTCAAGTAGTGGTACAGCTGGTCAGCCAAAGCTCTCAGTACTTCTCAGTAAGACGTTGGGAATTGACAATTCAAGGCTGGCTTGTTTCGGGAGACTGGAGAAGCTGAAGCCTGAGGTTGCTCAAGTTCAAGTTTACTGTTTGGGCCGTGTTCATGATCAAACCTTGCGGATATGGCGAAGGCGTGCGGGTTACGTGGAGACTAGGTGTGACGCCTTGTTGAAGGTCAACCACGAGTTTTTTTCCGCCAAGCGCTCAGTCTTCAACTTGCTAGCCAGTCATAGAGACGGAAACACACTCGATCCATAGCAATAAACCAACACCTCATCACAGGTGCAATGCACTGGCCAAACTCACGCATTTTCTACGACATTCTGGCTCAATCTGCTTCACCCGGGTTTGCAATTCATGCGCAATCCCTTCTCGAGGCAGCAGAAGAACAACTCGCTCGAACAACCGCGCAATCAAACCTCTTATCTCCACTGCCAGGCCACCAACAGCTCGTGGCTCGGATTGCTGCGCTCAAATATGCCGTTGCTCCAGTGCGAAAGCTACCCGCAGACATTCTTTTGGAGATATTTCGGATAGTTGCGGATGATTTGCTGATACCCTTCTACTACATAAACTGGTATTCCAACAGACACTTCCGCCCCGCATTCCGACTGGCCTCGGTTTGCTCATATTGGCGGCAGCTCATGTCAACAGCGCCGCGCCTGTGGCCTACGTCTATGACACTCCAGTTCAGTCGTTTTGGATGCTCCCCTCAATACTTGGACGTCGCTAAGACTTTGCTTCAGCGATCGAACCCATACTCTCTGGACATCACAGTCGATGGCCGTGGCCTGAACGTTGAACCTTCCTTGGCTTTGCACGTCATATTCGTCGCCATGAACGTAGCTTCTCGTTGGCAGAGGATATCTATGGATTGTGATATCGTTCCTTTCCTAAGAGCTGCACGAACACCAGGTCCACTCATTCACTTGACTGAAATCAACCTCCACAACTTAAATTGGGACGAAACAGACGAACCATCGGCCTTCTTCTTGGATGCACCCAAGCTAACCCGTGTGTCGCTCAGAACATCCCATGCTACCAAGCTTCTGCTGCCTTGGTCGCAGCTCACCAAACTCCAATTAGAAGGTGTTGAATCCCCAGGATTCCTGGCCGTTCTGGAGCAATGCATTTCCGTGGTTAATCTCCGCTTGGTGGGCTATATATGTGACGAAGATGTCATTGCCCCCTCCGCACTGTCCACCATCGTCTCTCTAGTGCATCTCAGCAATCTAAAGCTATCGGTGACAGAGGATCATTGCACATTCGATCCCTTGTTTCGCCATTTTACATTTCCGTCTCTTATCAACCTCACCCTCAACGCTCCCGGCGCAGATGATACGCCTGAAATTGGAGAATCCTTTCCCTCCTTTCTGGCGCGGTGTTCTGCTCTCAGCGACCTCTCGATCTCTTGCTTTGATATGAATGAAACGGCTTTGAGTGACATCCTGCTCAATATTCCATCGCTCACCAGCCTCACACTTGCAGCCTGTTTCTACTGCGTAGACAACGCCTTTTTTGAGCGGTTGACATACCGTCCCACAGACCTCGTTCCGCCAGCACCGTGCCTCCAACGGCTCCATCTTGACGGTGTCAATGATCGTTACAGTCAAGATGTCGTCCTGGCTATGGTCTGCTCGCGCTGGTGGACGGACGACGCTCTCCGGCTCCCAGCTCCACGCGTTGCACGCTGGCAAAACATATATATCTGCGGCCGTGATCCACCCGAAGTCGTACTTTCGGACGCATTCAAAGCCGCGATGGCGGAATTGCGCGCTGAGGGACTGGTTTTCGAGGTCGAAGAATATGAAGAGACCCATGGTGACAACTGATCCAATAAGTACCCCGCTACAACGCCTGAAGCAGCTAGATTCTACTAGTATTCGAGACGAGAGTTTCCCAATAATAGAAATGAGAACGCGTAGCCAATTTGGTGTATGGTCATTGTTCTCTCAGCAGGTTCAGGTTCTAGAAATTCAAGTTGGTCTCGTTGTCGCGGACTGACGGTAACAATCAACTGAACAATAAATTACCCATTGCACAACTTGTTCGAGTCCGAGTGAAGCGCGAGTGCGTCGCCAGATGATGGCGCAGAGCTCTGCAGGCGGGCTGGAGAGAACAAAGATGGCGCTGCCTTGGCATAGGCAGCAACAGCGCCGAGGAGAGCTTCAATTCGGAGCAGAGTTGTCTGGCCCCAGCTGGCGTATGGAGAGAAAGGAGTGGGCTACTAATGAAGTTGAGCTTGACTGCCAGTGTCACAGAGATACAGTATGTGCTAGAGCCTAGAGGATTTCGAGAGGTATGCGTGAGCTTGAGGCCGCTGTGGGGGAAACTTGGAAGTCGCGAAGTATTACTTATGTCATGCCCGGCCGCGGGCCTTCCAACTCACCACCATGCCCGTCAAAACATGGTCGAGTCCCTCCTGCATCTCAGCGTGGGTCAACCTCGGTACAGAAGAAGCAGCGGCCACTGGCAGTAACGCGTCTGAATCCTTTGGCTTCAACGCTTCGGCTGCCCCACCAGTCTCAAACGACTCTACTCAGACTCCTACTTCCGATTCAGAACTTGTGCGACTGTCTTAGAGTTTGAACTATCCTTGTGTTTATCGAAGGACAGATACTCGGCTACAACAATATGACCATTCGTGTGCCAATGACATGCTCTGAGGCCCAGGAAATCATGAACGTTCTGTGGGAGCGTCGTATGGCGTGTCTAGCCCAGCACGAAATGGCACGAAAGCGCCTCTAAGAAGCGCTCTTGCATCTCAATGTCTTGTACCAGGAGGTTCAGCAGAGCAAGCAAGACCTGGATGCAGCAGAGCGCGATCTAGCCGCCATAAAGGCCTTTTCTGCCGCTCATGGTGATCCAGCCTGGATGAACGCGCTGTCAATGGCAGAGGGATGTGAATATTGTGTGGAGTTGGCAGCGCAGACCTCTAGCCTGATAAGGTAAAGAATCAGTTCAAAGTAGAAGGATTCCGGTCAATCGATATCGTATTCCCACCATCGCAACTTCAAGTTGTCAGTCTATCCTCGATGCCCTCCAATACGAGTCACTTTGTGTGCGCTACATCAAGTATTGTCCACCACCAAGTACTGTCCGTTCACAAGACCGAGCTCGGACGCGCAGAAAAAAAACAAGGTCCCTTGACGGATTTTGCCAGTGACGCAGTACTTACCGTGTTTGCGGCCAAAGTGACTTATGGGCCATTATGTACTGAAAAGCACAAAACTTGAATATGTTTTTCTCTGAAACGACAATAATTACACGGTCCAACGCTGACTTCTTGTTGCTGTCGAAATCTTGAATTTGAGGGCATCAACTTCGTGAGAGCAGGAGCATGTGATGAGATGTCCTTTGCCTCTTGATTTCACCACCCAGTCTTTCCTCGAGATGCTGTCGGTCGAACGCTCAGTGTTGCCAACTACCCGTTGCACCTTCAAGCCAGACGAGGCGGTTCTGTGTCTTAAACTCGATCACGTTCCGCCCGATAAGATGGAGCGGTGAATCACCCGCTCCTCTTCAGTGTTACTCTTCCAAAGACCACCACTACCCACCAGCTACCCAGCTACCACAATCTCTACAATGTCATTCGCTTCGTCCATCACTACCTTTTTCAAGGCCATGTTCATTACTGTCGTCGGCTGGCTCTTCACTCGCAATTGTGAGGCCAACGGGGGTATGGTCACCGTTCCGGTTTGTGGGCGCCACTCATAACAACCACAGACGCAGCCTACTCCCCCAGAGCCCTTGAGGAAGGCTTGTTCAGTGCCGGTGCGTTATATTAGCATACAAAGTCAATGCCTCATTCGCGAAGTAGTCGACACCAACGTCGTCGCCACTCACTTCCCCAATATGTACTCTGCTTCTACCCCCGAAGCTGACCATATTCACGGTGTGTCTTCTTGCAGTGGTGGGGTTCTAGTTTTCATCTATCCCAGTGGTCAAGCCGGTGCCGACGATAATTGTCACTCCGCCCTCGATTGGTATGTCCTTACATTCTGCCTGACGTTTATTGACCGTTCATCGCAGACAACATATACAAGGTCCACACCGAGCAGAGTACAACATCGGTTGGCGCCACGAAAGGTTCGTGTTAGTGCCACTCAGTCGTGTTTATCTCACTTGATTCCCAGACGACGTTCTGCCAACTGAGAGTGTTGTTGAGGCCAGCGCTGGAACTCAAGGTGTGTTGAAAAGCGCCGTTCAATCAGTTCATACACTAACTTTGTCTTAGTCATGCATGACGGTAACTCCGTCGTTGATGTTTCTGCCAACAAAGGTATGTTTGTACCTCGCACCGTTTTGTGTGGCTCACCTCGTTTATCAGAGCCCCACATGAACACCAAAGTCGTTGTTTCTGTGAACAGCCAGCCGCTTATCCCTTCCGTGTCTCTCACTTATCTTAATCCCCGCCCTGCACCGTCTCCTCCAATCAAGGTCATGGCAACGCCTTCTCGTGTGCCGTTGTGCAACATTACCAACACTAGAAAGCCGGTTCGAGTCGGAAACGGGTCTTCCAAGAAGAAACAGGCCCGCGCAGCTGTCGTCTCCACCACGAGCCGAAACGTCAAAGGGGAATATGATCAGGTCGTAAACGCAGGCACACTTTCGCTCGACGAGCAATGGGCTGCCGCCAAAGCTCTCGTATCTTCACGTCGGCAGCAGATCGTATCCTATAAGCGCCTCAGTGCTCCCATAAACAAAACACCCACCATCAACGTTGTTCCCAAACGTTATTCAGCGCCAGCAATACCCACAGCCTCGACTGCGGCACCGAAGCTTGAATTGGAGCAATTGCTGGATGAGCTCTTGCTCGAGGCCCAGGAAACGCTCGCGATGGTCGAGTCCCAGCGTATTGTCCTTAACACCAACATACAAGGACTCCCTCCAACCGCGCCGTTGAAGTTGAGCCCAAAAGCCAAATTCAATACCCCTTCTCCAAATCACGCTCTTTGCCTCAATAAATCCGCTGTTGCGTCGTTTCACAATGATGTAATCCCTCCATCCTCCGCCCTCCCTCACTCTTCCACGCTCGCAACACTTTCGAGTTGCGGTTCCATTGGCTCCATCTTGGACCATTTCGAGGACCTCATCGTCAGTCCTTCTTGGCGGAGAATTTCGGGACATTCCGACGCGTTGGAGAAACGTTGGGTGGTGGAGGCGCTGGTCTGATCGAGACCAGCGATTCCGCGTGGTCGTTGTTGGCACCCGTACAACGACCCGACAGTTCATTTTCGACAAAAAACAACCAAACACCCTGCATGCCGCTTATAGCCGTGCAGACAAAAAACCATCGAAAAAATCCATAAAACCCCCACATGCAGCTTATAGCCGTGTGGGCATATTTCATAGGCGGGTCTCTCCTCGGCGTCATTTCCGAGTTGACGAGACGGTGGAGTTGGAGTTGTCGAAAAAACCATAAAACCCTCACATGCAGCTTCTAGCCGTGTGGGCATATTCCTTAGGCGGGTCTCTCCTCGCATCATTTCCGAGTTGACGAGACGGTGGAGTTGGAGTTGTCGAAGAAGAAGAAAAGACTATAAAACCCCCACATGCAGCTTATAGCCGTGTGGGCATATATTAAAGGCGGTTCTCTCCTCGGCAGAAATGTCGAGTTGACGAGACGGAGGCGTTCATCGACTCGCAGGGATTTCGGGCCTGGCTTGTCTTTGAATGCGGCAGAGTATATAGAAAATTGTAAACCCATAAAAGAATAGAAAACCCATTTCATAGGCTGACATGACTGGTTTGGAGTTGTTTCGACGACGCTCTGCAAGGCTGAAGGCTGAGTCATACAATTCTTGTCATGCTCGTGACACATGGCCTCAACAAAAAGCATGAGCGATAGCTTTCACCACCAAGTGCCACTTGCCTTCCAACCCACCATCCAACCTCACCGGGAACACCTAATAGTAACTATAGGCTACTCAAATGAGCCAAAGCTCTGCCTCAAACTCTCCAATGGACTGGCCACACTCACACATTTTCTATGACATCCTTGCCCAATCCGCCACACCCGGGTTCGAAGATCACGCGCAGTCCCTTCTTGGAGACGCAGAACAACAACTCGCTCGAACAACCGCGCCGCCGGACCCATTATGTCAAGCCCAACTGGTGGCGCGGATTGCTGCACTCAAATATGCCACTGCTCCCGTGGGCAAACTACCCGCAGACATTCTTCTGGAGATATTTTCCAGAGTCGAACATAATTGGTCACAATCTAATTTGCGAGTCTGGTCAAACACGCACTTCTGCCGTGCATTCCGACTGGCCTCAGTCTGCTCATATTGGCGACAGCTCGTTTTAATGGCGCCGCGCATGTGGCCAACGACCGTGACACTCCGAACCAGTTATTTCAACCACTCTCCGAGTAATAAACGCCTTCAGCACTTAGACGTCGAGACATTGCTTCAGCGGTCGAACCCATACCCTCTGCACATCACAGTCATTAGCCATGAGCCGCCAGTGTTGAACGTTGGACCTTCCTCGCCTTTGCACGTCATATTCATCGCCATGAACGTGGCTTATCGTTGGCGGAGTATACGGGTCAATTGTGATATTGTTCCTTTTCTCCGAGCTGCACGAACACCGGGTCCACTCATTCACTTGACTCAAATCAGCCTCCACGACATGAATTGGAATGAAACAGACCAACCATCGGCCTTCTTCTTGGATGCACCCAAGCTAACCCGTGTGTCGCTGGAAACATCTCATGCTACCAAGCTTCTGCTGCCTTGGTCGCAGCTCGCCGAAGTCCAATTAGAAGGTGCCGAATCCCCAGGATTCCTGGCCATTCTGGAGCAATGTATTTCCGTGGTCGATCTTCACTTGGTGGGCTATATCTGTGACGAAGATGACATTGCCACCTCTGCCCTGTCCGCCACCGTCTCTCTAGTGCATCTCACCCATCTACAGCTATCGGTGACAGAGGATCATTGCACATTTGATCCCTTGTTTCGCCATTTTACATTTCCGTCCCTTCTCCGACTCACCCTCAAGACTTCCGGTGCAGATTATCTGCCTGAAATCGGAGACTTCTTTCCCTCCTTTCTGGCGCGGTGTTCTGCTCTCAGCGACCTCTCGATCGCTTGCTTTGATATGAATGAAACCGCTTTGGGTGATATCCTCCTCAATATTCCGTTGCTCACCAGCCTCACACTCGCATGCTGTTTCTACTGCGTCGACGACACTTTCTTCGAGCGGCTGACATACCGCCCCACAGACCTCGTTCCCCCAGCGCCGTGCCTCCAACGGCTTCGTCTTGAAGAGGTCAATGATTCTTACAGCGAAGATGTCGTCCTGCTTATGGTCCGCTCGCGCTGGTGGACGAACGAAGCTCCTCGGCTACCAACTCCACGTGTTGCACGCTGGGAAAGCATATTTATCTGCGACCGTTATCCATCCGAAGTGGTACTTTCGGACGCATTTAGAGCCGCGATGGCGGAACTGTGCAGTGAGGGACTAGATTTAGACGTTGAAGGATAGTACTATATCAAACCCGCCGACACTACAACGGCTGCCAGTGAAGCAGTAAGCTAGATTCTATTCGATGGCCGGCGATCATGATGATACTACTTAATACGACTCGGAGAGTTTTCCAAGATGGGAAAGTGTTGACGGTCCAAACACCCCGAGGGCTGCTCTTACGAGCACCGTGCCTTAGTAGAAGTAGCGTACTTGCCCACCCGCAGAATATAAATTTTAGAAAAAAAAGTTTGTCATGCGCATGCCCAGCCGGCGGCCGGCCCGGGCCTTCCGACATGCCCGTCAAACGAAAAACCTGGTCGAGTCCTTCCTCCGCATCTCTCAGCGTGGGTCAACCTGGGTACAGAAGACTCGGCAGCTGCCCACTGGCAGCAACACGTCTAAATCCCCGGCTCGATGTCGTGACACATCACGTCAACAAAGCACTGGCATGAGCTTTGACCACCAAGTGCCACTTGCCTTCCAACCTCACCATCCAACCTCACTAGGGAACACTTAAGAGTAACTATAGGCTACTCAAATGAGCCAAAGCTCTGCCTCAAACTCTCCAATGGACTGGCCACACTCACACATTTTCTATGACATCCTTGCCCAATCCGCCACACCCGGGTTCGAAGATCACGCGCGGTCCCTTCTTGGAAACGCGGAACAACAAATTTCCCGAATGTACGTGCAGCCAGCCGCTTCGGGTCAAACCCACCAACAGCTCGTGGCCCGGGTTGCTGCGCTGAAATACGCCGTTTCGCCCGTTCGAAGGCTGCCCGCAGACATTCTTTTGGAGATATTTCGCACCGTCATCCACGAATCTCAAGCAAGCTCTTCTGGAAACGAGGCATTCGTCCCAGTTTTCTGTCTAGCTTCGGTCTGTTTTTACTGGCGTCAGCTAGTCATAACGGCACCGCGCCTATGGCCGACAACCATGATTCTCAGGGGCCCAGCTTGCTCCCCTCAATACTTGGAGACCACGAAAACGCTACTCCAACGTTCATCACCGTACTCTCTTGACATCACGGTGCGGCCAAGAGTCCTCTTTTCAAGTCGGGAGCCTCCCATCATGATGACGAGCAATATCATGGACATCGTCGTGGGCTCGGCTCATCGGTGGCGAAGGATCTCAGTGGTCTTCAATGCCACTCCTTTCCTCAGCACTACGCAACTGTCCGGACCACTCTGTCATTTGTGTGAAATTGACTTCCCGCAAAAGTTGGTACTGGACCAGCGATTAGCTTTATTCTTGGACGCCCCAAAGCTAACCCGCGTGAGGCTTTATGGGGCCGATTTTACCAAAATGTTGCTCCCTTGGTCGCAGCTCACCAAACTCAAGTTGGGCGCCGTCGCGTCCTCGGACTTTCTCATCGTTCTAGAGCAATGCAACTCTCTTGTTGACCTTGAACTAGATGGTGTTGTCCGTGGCGAAGACACCATCATCTCTTTCGTGTCTCGGGCCAGCGTAATTTCGATGCCACATCTGCATGACCTGAGGATTGCCATGCTGGACTATCGCACATTCGACCCATTCTTTTCCAATTTCGGATTTCCCTCTCTACTGACCCTTATAATCAGAACCGCAAATGTGATCACGGAGCCTGAACTCGGACAGTCCTTCCCGTCATTCCTCCAGCGTTGTCCTGCGCTCGAGTATCTCGAATTTTTCGGCTGCATACTTGGTCGTGCATCGCTGGGCAGCATGCTCCTTCGTATTCCGTCACTCACCCACCTCAAGCTCAACTGCTGCTTTGACTGCGTGGACAACGCCTTCTTTGAGCGGTTGACATACCGCGCTACGGACCTCGACCCGCCCGCGCCCTGCCTCCAAAAGCTTGAGCTCGATTGCGTCGGGAACAATTATAGCGGAGATGCGGTCCTGGCGATGGTCCGCTCGCGCTGGTGGGAAAGCGATGCCTTTCAAGTACTCCCGACTTCTCCGCGCGTCGCGCGCTGGAAGGCTATCTACATCTCCGCTAGTAATTATGGGGCAAAGTTCTCGGACGAGTTCAAAGCCGCGGTGGCTGAACTGTGCGCGGAGGGACTGGCTTTTGCTGTTAAGGTGTACAACCCGGCCGATTACGATGAATATTAATGAACGATGGTGACCTCAATGTTCTCAGTTGATTGCGGGGTCAAACGCAGTGAGCCCAAAGATTCAAGTTGGTAAACGATGCCTTTTACTTAGTACTTACTTACTCAGTGGACAATATTGCACCAGCAGCTTTGTTTCGTTGGCATTACTATGTGGATATTAGCCGTGTCCGAGTCTATGTAGAATGTTACCTGATTCTTTGGCACAGCACACACCATGCTTGCGAAGATCACCGGCTGAGCGGCCGGGCCCGATCAGTGACCAGTGTGACTGGACGTGTTTCTGGCTCTCCCACCCATGGCCAACGCTCACAGGTTGGTGAAACGGGCACGGTGACTCGTATCGCGGCTCAACGCCCTATGGTCCATGGATTGTCGATGAACTAACTTGCGCCTCATAAACCAAGTATCATCAAGATTCTCTTACGCCTTCAAGTTCTTCTCCCGAAGTTGACGAAGAACTTGAAGGCATACGTAGCAGCCATGCCCCGAGTTTTTATCCACCAGCTGATTGGGGCGCTACGTGACCTTGAGGTGTGTCTTGCCCCCCGCACTTTAATTGGACATCCACTAAACGCAACACCGACAGAGTAGGCTTGCATGCCGTTGGTTGGTTGATACATCGGCTCCAGTCGACGGAACCATACTTGATGAAGGACGCTTCTTACCGTCATGGCCTCCCTATTACAAGTGCTGCCGCTCCCAACTTCGACCCCGCCCGCCGCCCGCGATCCTAAAGTGCTAAGTGCTAAGCTAGCTCGTCATCCAGATATTCTCTGCTCTTTGAGGCTTCATTGCGCGACTCGGGAGCTGGTTCAGACGCTTCCTGAACAGATTTAAAGCGAGAATTGCTGCACTACTGACCATTCATGGCCACTCCACCGACCTTCGTATTCGTTCCCGGCGTCTTCCACACGCCTGCCCATGCGCAGCCACTTCTCGACGCCCTTCAAGCAAAGGGTTATCCAACCCACGCAGTCGCACTGACGACCGTCGGAGAATTGGCCAGCACCGCGCCGCCAAACGCCGATGTTCAGGCTGTCAAAAAGGTTCTCGAAAAACTTGTCGAAGAAGAAGAGAAAGAGGTCGTGCTGCTCTGCCATTCCTACGGCGGAGTTGTGGGCAGCCAAGCTGTCGCAGGGCTGGAGAAAAGCCGACGAAACAAAGGCGGAATTATCAAGGTCGTATTCCTGGCCGCAATTCTGCCACGAGAGGGAGAAGGCTTGCTGGAGGCATTTGCTGCCACCCCCTCCTGGCCTGGATCGTGGCTTTTGGTATCCTGTCTCTCCCTCAAGACTTCAAGCTTACTGACAGAAATCGCAGCCGGCGGGCCCAGTCACGATGACCGCATACCCCGAGGCGGCAGAGGTGTTGTTCCACGACTTGGACCCCGACGCGCAATCCTACTGGGCCGGCCAGCTCGCGCCAATGTCCGCGCACGTGCTCAGCACTCCTGCTGTTGGGGTTTGTTGGGCGGTCGACATTCCGAAAATGTACATCTTCTGCACGCAGGACCGCTCGATGCCGCTGCAAGCACAGCGGGTTTTTGTGGAGCGGGTTAATATGGGCGACGATTCAAGTTGGAAGACGGTCGAGATGGATTGCGGGCACAGTCCGTTCCTGAGTCATATCGACCAGTTGGTGGCGATTTTGACAGAGGGAGATGGAGGGAGCTGTTGATTTAGCTTGGTCAGACGCAATTCTTTGAACCATGTCGCATTGAAAGTAAAAAAAAAAAATGATATTATTACTCGAGGAAAGAACCATTGGTATCCTTCACGTTAAAGTACTACACTACACTACTAAATGGCCGCTAGCATCTCTTGACGGTTGGTCGCCCAATTCTCACCCAAGACTAGCCATTTCTTGACGGTCGGATACTCGTATCCGATTCTCAATCAATCCTAGAGTTGGTCAACAAAGCGAAGCAAAAACGCAGAAAACAAAACACGAACCATGGCGATGCCAGCGTCCAACGGTCGGTTGTCGATTCTCAATCAGAAGCCATCGCAAGTTTTGACGGTCGAGTAAGCTGATCGCGGGGCGGGGGGTATGCCTTCGTTCGTCGCTCGTGTCGATTCCCAATCCAAACTTGCTTCGCTCAAGGGTCGGAGTGTCCGATTCTCGCATGGACGTTGGCTGATGCTTCTGACGGTCGACAACCGATTCTCAATCGGAGGAGTGTTGCAAGTGTTGACGGTCGGCCTGCGATTCTCGATCAACAACTCGTACTGTTTGCCGTCAGTTAGAGTAGTAAAGGGTGCGGGAAACGAAGCACCTTTGTGAAGGTCACCGTGTTCTCTGCCCGAATCCCAGAATGGAGCGATATGACCACATAAAACCCAGAGGTAAAAGAGAAGAAAGAAATCAAGCAATTGAGCGGCAAAGTTTGGTGCGGGTGATTGGATCGCAATCGCGGGACATGGCGAATCATCGTCAAAACGGTGACGGATTAGGTAGTCGGAAAGTAGGGCGTCCCCTGCAGTCTTGACACCGGTGTTGTCTTCGTAATGGATATTCGGCAAGGTCGTCGTTCGTTGCTCTCCGCTCATTCGCTGACCACGCCACCCGCTATTCAATCACTTCTGTTGCGCTAAGTCAGTACAAGCCATTGATAGAAGGGAGAGACAATGACATACGCTGGTGACGACGACGGCGCCAAACTCGATATTTCCACTTGAGGTGACGAGTAAATGGAATCTGAGAATTCTGTTAGTCCAGACTCTGACGCTCATATGATCAGCGACACGCACCAGATCGTGATAAATAAACAAGACTACCACTGGGGTAATCGTAACCTGCAAGAAATGAACTGGGGCATTGAAGACCAGAGATGACATACGATTAGGTGAGTAAGACCCAGCCGCATCCAGAGACCATAGCTCTCCATCGCCACCTGACTGACTGTTTGTCTTAACGCAACGAGGTCTTCGTGTTGTTTGCTTCGAAAGCGCTTCATCTCTTCCATTATGACAAGGAACATGTGCTTCTCCACATCCCAGAAAGACACATCTTTATTCCGCACCAGTTGCAGTATGTTCAGGTTGTACTTCGAAGTCTCTGCCATGGCCAAGGAATAGATCAGAAACCCATTCGACAAGCCGCCCAGAATGAAACGTGGCAAGTCATCCACAAGATAGACTGCTTCCGCGGTGTGAACCAACAGCTGGACAGCAAGCAGCACCACCCGGAGAGTAACGAGGAGTCCGGAGGTCAAGAGAGCCTATAAGCTACATCAATGATGATAGGACAGTGGAAATGAGAACGCACGTTAGATACAGCGGGACTCCATCCCAAGTAAACCTCGCGACGATACAGAATGCAGAGAAGAATCTCATTGAAACGCTTGATGGTGGGTGGCCCCCATATGCAGTCAGCCGAGTATTGGTAAAGAATCCACCAGAGTGGGCGCAGGGCTGGAAGGCAGAGCATTACGGACAGTGGAAGGAGATGAGTCACATAAGCGTGGTCTAGGAGGTTTAAGGCGATTCGTGGCATGTAATGACGCCAAGTAAACAGTTTTCTAGTCGCTTGGACAAAAACAATCCATCCAACGTGGCTGAAGGCTGCGACCAGAGTAGACCAAAACGCCTTCGCTGCATAGAAACGTAGACCGCGGACGCTGAAGGCAAGGAACCATGCGGTGAGGTTGAATGGGTGGTTGATGAGAACACGCTTCAAATCAGGATGGGCAACGAATTGATATTCAAGTGGGAAGCGCTTAAGAATCGCAGCCGTGGCTAAGCCAGCCATGATGGTCCACAAACGACCTCTTTGCCAACCATATCCACGACATATTCCAAGTCCCGCAGAGATTACCCCAAAGACAACGACAAGTGTGGCTGCTGTGGCACTTTGGATGGACGTTGTGGGAACGTAGAAAGAGCAGGGTGTGGGGACGAAGTAGACAGGATACGTCTGAGTGGGGACCTCAACGTTCACGGGAAGTGAGGTTGGGAGTGGCAGAGTGGTTTCGGTGGCGAAGAGTTGGTAGGTTGAGAAAATAGTGGATACTATCTTCGCACCGAGGAAGAAGGCTTGTAAGCGGAAAATAACCGGCTGAGAGAAGCTGAAAAGCGCAAATGGACTCGAAGGCATGGTGGGCGTAAACAAGTCCAATCTTGACGGTGACTTGTGATGCGTGTCTTGATTGACCCTTCCGCGTTCACGTGTGGTTATGTGAGCAGCGTTCTTCTTTCTCTACAACCGCTGTGTTCCAAAAAAAAACTCGCCCAAAAGAGCCTCGCCTTGAAGTTGCAGTGACAAATCGTACGTCTATCTCGCCATGCTTGCTTCAGCCAACCATGAACGACAAGGTATCACTCACATCAAAACCTCAGAACGCTCGCTGGCCTATTTCATCCAATGTTCACCAACCCGTTGGTCCTGCAACGCGTCTTCTTCTTCGTCGTCGCAGTCCTCCAGGGGCTGCAGCCAGTCCTCTTCATTGCTTTGAACGCGGCCTTCCAAACTCCAGGAAGTATTGAACCAGCGACCCCTTGTCTGTGGACCGGGAATGCCTGCGCAGTGAACCCGCCAATGTTCTCGCCCACCATTGTCCCGCCAGCTGCTAAATCCTCTCGAAGTCGCTCCCCCAAGTCTCGCCCTGGAAATGCTCCCCTCGCTCGTCGCCCACGCTTGATAGCCCCGTCGGTTCGTCTGTGCTTGCTCCATCAAGATATGAGCGAGATGTGGCAAGGAAGACTCGCCTTGGACGCCAGAGCCCCACTCTACGTCTACATCCTCCAATCCTTCCCCCACTCTGGAACCACCTCTCGCATCTTGTTCCCCGACCATCAATTTGCACTCCCTCTATTGTTCTCATCCCAAGACGACATGGAAGGGGGGAACGATCTTTTGTGGGAGGTCTTGGAGGACAGAACGTCGGCAGTGCTTCGGAGATTTGCGGAGGACCAAGCCGTTCGCATACAGCACCAAATTCCTATTTGGCGAGGCGCAATTGCATGGGTGGTGCGCAATCCTCGAGCAAGCGCGCACTTTCTGTGGCAAAATCACCTAGCAGGATTACTGGTCATTGCTCTGATTTATATCTGCCAGCAACGAAACAAGATATCCAGCCTGGAAGCGCGGGTCAGAGACCACGAACAACCGGAAGAAGCCGAGCGGGTGGGTGATGATGGTGTAGCTGATGTAATACCAGAGGGCGAACTCGAAGAAGGGCTAGCCTTGCAGACTGGCGTTGCTGATGGTGACCATGACACCAACGACGAACCAGAAGAAGCTATTGGTGACGAGGGAGAAAGGGTTGTTTTTCCGACTCGGCTGGCGGGCTGGTTCCATCGACCCGAGATCATGTCGCTTGTGTTTACATGGCCGCCGAACTTCTTCCCTAGCAGCAGCTCGCTGGGTTCTGTTTTTGGGCACCCAACACCAACACCTGCTCCGCAACTTCGGGGCCAAGAGGAGGAGGCTTTGGCAGACGACAACGATGACGAATCGGACGACGACGCGGGCAGAATCCCTCGGCGTGACAAGGGAAAGGGGAAAGCAAAAGAGGAAGATATGGAAGATGATGAGGTGGTGATAGATACCGTCGAGTGGGAAGAACAAGAGGCGGAAGAGCTGCAATGGGCGATGCGGCAAAGCCGGTTGGCGACCGAGTTCGGTGAAAACAGGGCCGGCCCTTCAACTGCTGGTCCAAGCACACTTGCAACCAACCCAACGAGTCCGGTCGACAGTACGCCAGGGACCCATGACGACAGTCCAGGCTCTGTGTTGCCAAACAGAGCCGTAAGTTGGTTTCGCAAGCCCAAAATAATGAGGCTTGTGTTGTCTTTGACGTCGCCTTCTCGAAGCACCCTTTCGACAAGTTCCTCGCTTGAATCGGCTATTCTCAACCCCCATCCAACTCCAACGCCCGCTCCGCGACAAACAGGTTGTGTCCAGCAAGAAGATTCTGGTGATAGGCACCGAAAGGGGAAAGGGAAGGCAGAAGATCCATTTGCAGGCGACGACGACGATGAGGAGGGCAACCGAACAAGGGCAGGAGGCCCTGGATTTCCTCCTGGCTCCCTCGATTCGCCTGCTGCCCCGATAGCTCCGCCGCCCTCTCCAGAAGCCATCCAACAAAACGATTCCGAAGTCGTGGTCGTCGCTGCAAGAGAACCGTTTGCCCAAGAGAACCCATCAGAGCGTGCGGGGATGGCGGCTATTCCGCGTCAGCGCCAAGGGCTGTTCCCGCCCCGGCAGCTGCGGGAGCACGTGGTTGCGGGGCGATGGCAAGGCCAAAGGATACAGCTGGGACGGACCCCAGTCGCGGCTCATCCTCTAGCAAAAGAGGAGACGGAAAAGAACTAGAGTTATGGCAGGAAATTAATCGAGGAATTTAGTATGTAGAAATAGTAGAACACTTGTAAATACGGATATGTTGGTTTTCATAGGACTTGATGACAATGACTTCGAAGACTCGGAAGAGAGAGCTGAAGCGCTGAAGAGAGAGAGGTGAGTGTGACTTAGGTGGTCACACTCACAGAGTGAAGCTGAGTGAAGCTGAGTGAAGCTAGTGAAGACACTCTGAAATGTTCGCCTCATGATCAGGCCTCAGGGTTGATTCAAGCATTGTGCACAGAACTGAAGAGTAGTAATAGTAGAGATTATTTCACAAGCACATTCCCTGCAGCTCTTCCGTGCCCGCCCTCAGAGTGAGAGTATCATGTCACAGTTAGCTCACGAAGGTGCATCTCCGTCTAAAGCAGCGTCGCATATGTTGACTGCATACGTCGGCACGGGAAGTGTTGTCGACAAAGACGGAACAAATATCAGCACTGCAACAAATACCAAGAAAGAAGGACGGAAAGCGAAGCCCAGCAACACATGCATCCCGAATCGACTTCTGACCCGTCTGCAACAGAAGCGGCTGGCAAGCATACAGCGGTGATGGGACGACGATATATTGGTATAGGAATGCAGTAAGGCCGAATGACTCGTATGGGCCAGCGTCAAGGTGGGCGCCGACTGGCCCTTCGCTCGACACGCGAACCGTCTAACCTCCGCCAAAGCGCTCTTAACTCGAAGAGCCGGCCATATGGGCGTTCCGAAGAAGGCTTGACTCTAGCAGATGATACACTGACAACCGCCGACTTCGTCTCCATTATTGGGACTCTGGCGAGAAGGAGACGGAGAGATCGCTAAATGCACGATTGTTGGGGAAGGGGCGGTTTCAGGGCCAGAGGGGAATCCGAGTTCTACAAAAATGGAAGTTGGAGGGGAGCGAAGCAGAGAAGGAGATAAGGGACACACTCGATAGTGGCTCTTCATCCTGCAGCACTCTGCCCAAGTGAAGAATGCGAAGACATGCTGATAATGGCGGTCTTTCTGGCCAGTCTGGATTGTTGATTAGATAAGAGAGGATAGAATGAAGACTAGTAAGTACCTGACGGCCATGAGTCCCACAGTGTGCTCTTGACTGTCTGAATGGTCGTGTGAAGCTCGTATGAGCGTGTACAGCGACTGCCAGAGGCAAGAAGAAACATGAGCGTTGTTTGAGGCTGAAGCGACTCCGGTTGGGGCTGTTGTTGCTCTACGACATCAGTCGGGTCATCGTCAGAGTCGACATCGACGCGGGTGACCGAGGTTGCAGCAGAGGGCGACCCAGAAGGAGGGTAAGGGCTGACGCCAAGATGGGCGTTGGAAGCAAGAAGCAGTCCTGTGACTGACGGCGCTGGTGTTGGGAGTTGTTGCATTTGGGAGAATCCCAACAACCCACCTCCTGTGCGCTTTTATACGTTACCCTGCCAAGGTCTCGCCCTGTGGCTGTCGCCTACCTGCATATGTACCTTTTCTCGCTTCTTCCAATGCCTTCCATCCGAGTCGTCCCGTCACTCTTCTCCTCCCCCGGATCATAGCGAATATGACGCGCCTGCCGCCAATTGCCGTGAAGCTGCTAGCTCTATCTTTCACCCCAGTACCAGCGTATTGTCCCGCTGCTGAGCCAACTCTCCTCGTCGCACGGACTCGCTTCCGACCAACCCCGCAATCTGTCGGCGGACTTTGACTGGCTGGCTAACGTTGTTTTCCGATGGCCCATGCTATCCAACTGTCATTAACCGCCTCGATTCTGGGACTATTACGCACAGAAGAGCCAATCCCGGCGCGATCCAACATCCTCAAAGCAGTGATCATCTTCTCGCAGCCTTCTTCTGGATTCCAGGCTCATACACGGCTATTCAAAGGCATCTTCGGCATTAGCGTCGCTTGACAAACGGGCAAAAGTGAGGCGGGGACAGAGTTCATTATGACGCAGCTTCAGTAATAGAATGTCATCAAAGGCACCGCTGTCTCTGACGAACAACCGAAAGACGTTCGGAGCAGCTCGGTGTCCATGAGCAATTGCTGGGTCAAAGGACTGCAGATTCAGTATTGATGGCCAATCTACTAGTAATCCAACTCAGTCAAGTGTCGTAGAAAATACGGCACGTCGTGCTGACAAAGTTTATAGCAAACGGCATGTCTAAAAAGATTGCATACTACACTAATTATAGGGTTGAAAAAGTCGACCCGATGAAACATGGACCAACTTAAAGATAGACTCGGACTGCCAAATTAACGCTGATATCCACATCCTCCCTAAGCTATTCAAAGGCACCTTCGGCATTAGCGTCGCTTGACGAATGAGCAGGAGTTCTGAATCATTATGACGCGCTAACTTGAAGCTTCAGTAATAGAACTTGGCTGTCTCTGACAAACCACCTAAAGACGTATTCATGTACTCGGAGCAGCTCGGTGTGCATGAGCAATTGCTGCTAGGTCAAAGGGCTGCGGATTCGGCATCGATGGCCAGCCCACTAGTAATCTAGCTCAGTTAAGTGTTGTAGAAAATACGGCGACAAAACGGCAAATCCAAAAAGATTGCATACTGCACTAATTATAGGGTTTAAAAAGTCGACTCCAACTCAACACTGATATCCACATCCTCCCTAATCATCCTCCTTGGACACGTCCTCATTAGGATGATGTGTATGCGCCTCCCGCTTCGCGCTGTGTCTGTTTTAATATCAAGCACACCAAAACACGAATCGACTCACCGTCCTTTCGGTTGGAACAAAAACGACGGGTTCTTCCCGTCCAGAAACAGCCACGCAAGCTTCTCCTTCAATCCTTGCTTCTGCCAATCCGCCAGCGATGCAGGGAACGTCGGCAGCGCGCTCGTGATGCTCCCATCGTGGGTAACAAGCGTCAAAAAGTCCTTGTCTGCATCGAGTGCCGCCAGCTTGGACACGGAGAGCTGCGCGGCGGTAGGGTCCACGAAGAATGAGTCGGGCGTGTCGGAGAGCGCGAGGAGGGGCTCGGTCCGTGAGGCAATGTCGAACCGGCCCGGCCCGGTCCGGGGAGACCAGAAAAAGTCGGTCGAGATGGCACTGCGCGCGGATTCGACGAGCTCTCCGGGGCAGGGGATGTTGGCCTGGAAGGCACCGCCGGGACGAAGCGCGCCAGCGTGGTGAAGTGTGTCCGCTCCCAAGATAATGAACGAGGTGGGTGTTGTCCGTGCAAGGCCAATTACGTGGCCGCCAAAGTGCTTGTGAATATCAGCTTGGGAGATCCAGTTAGATTGAGCTACGAACTCCAGGTGCATCGAGGAGGTAGAAAGACCCATCGCCAAACTGATCTAGAGCCCTCATTCCGCTAATAGTCAGATTCGAACGCGAGAAATCAGCTTTAATCAGCTTGTGGCCACTGAATTGCGGTTTAGTTTCATGTTGCGTATCCAGCCGTGAACACGCACGCAAAGTCACTAGCTTGAAAGTCGGAATTCTTGTTGTCGGGGAAGATGGAGGTGTCCGTCTGTGATGAGACCACGATTTTGCGTTTCTTCGGCCACTTCTTCATGTCGCCTGGCACAAGAGGTCAGACCAAACAGTGAAGCAGGAGACCATCGTACCAATGTGGTCAAAGTGTCCATGACTATAACAATCAGAACCGCGCAAAACTCTGATTTTTGGCACTCACCTCCAAAAGATCGCTTTGATGCTCTTCAACGCGATGCCGCCGTCCACCAGCAGCTGCGTGATGTCCTTGAACTTGCCAAGCGTAATCGTCTTGGACTTGAACAGCCCCGCAAACGTCGGCGGCAGGTTTTCCGGGTCGTTCCTGATGCCCAGATCGAACATGAAGCGCCGCTTTGTGGGCTTGTGTTCAAGGAGGAACGCAAATATGGGGAGTGTGATAGTCTCCTGGCCGGGCAGGACGGGCTTCACAAACACATGGGTGAGGTTGTTGAGTGTAAAGCTTGCGACGTTGAACGCTTTCACGTCGACGGTTGCGGATGACGCGGGGATCCCAAAGTCGCGGAAGGAGGCGAGGGCTGGGGCTGCGAGAAAGGGAAGGGTGAGAATAAGCCGCATGGAAGAGAAAAAAGATGGCTTTTCGTTGACATGAGCGACTGCATTTATTTGTTTGTCTGGCGCGGGGTTATGCCCGTGTCACCGACCACCGGGCACAGGACACGGCCTGTCTAAGCGAAGCGTCAACACAGGCGGTGCGCGTTGGTCAGAGAGCAGCACCGCTTCGATTTACCTGTCGCGCCAATCACGACTTCAAGTTGAAATCCGAGCCGGAGTGCTTATGCAGTGTTTCGTTGTCGATAGTACCTGTATTCTTGATGATTCAAATTAAGCTGTTACAGAGGGCACACGCTGGGAGACGCTTTAAGGCATGGCAACTCGTAGCAGTTGAGAAAAGAGTGAATGCTTGCTTGGTTATCGAAAGCTTCGACCTCGAGCTGTTGAGAGAACAAAAACGCTAGATTATTTGGCTCAGGGGACATGACTGCAGAGAGTGAAGCGCGCGTTTCGTTCCTGCCCGGATTCTTCGCTTCCAGCTCCATTACCGGCCAGCTCAGGCCCGTGTCGTTTGCTTCTAGCCCGCGAAGACCCAACTGTAGATCTCCGGAAGGCCTGTTCTTCGCTTCGAATTCGCATGGGGCGTTGCAGAAAATGGACGCGTCACCAACTGGGACTTTCTGTTGTGGGAGAAACCAGCAAGTGAAAGATGAGTCAGCTATCAACGGATCAATCTACTTACTCATCCCAAACGACCATGACTTACTTTTTGCTGAACACTTTACTTTGAGGCAAGCTTGGCGTCTTCCGCCACACTCAAACTGTGGAGCCCCGCCGCGACATCTTCTCCCGAGCGACAAGGTGTCCAACGATGCCCAACTCCATCTCCCAAACTACGAAGAAGCGGAGCTTCCAATGCCGACCTAGCTTCTACTACTAGTAGTCTAGCAATAGAGAAATCGTACATCAACAGGAAGGCATTACATCCCCCAAATCTCCTCGCCTTTACTTCGTTATGGAACACACTGAACTGCTCAACTACATCACCCACCTCCCGCTCGACCTGCCCGGCTCGCTCTTCCACGATAAGCCGAAAAACTCCGGGACGGCCCGTGTCAGCGCAGCAAGCGTGAATCACTTTGCTGAGGACGTGCCTGACCAGATCCAGGTGAGTTTTCTCTCTTTTTTGACCCAGTTTTTGTTCTTATATCTACTTATAAAGAAAGACATCCTCAACTCTACCCTCTTCGCGCAGCGTGCCGCCAATGCTAAGTATCCCGGCGACCAGAGCGGCAGCAAGGAGTGGTACAACTTCTACACGGACATCCTGAGCAAGCTTGGCTGGAACATCCTCAACTTCCGGTGCGTGTTACTCCCGTTATATCTGCTTTTTTCTGACGCTTATTAGCCGCGACCAGGTCGACAACGCCAGCGCCAGCGGCACATGCTCTGAACTCGTCCTCTCGCTCCTCATGGGCTTCCTCTCGCCCAACGAGGTCGATCTCTTCAAAGATGTCCTGGAGGGCCTCAAGAACGCCAAATCGGCCACCAAGATATTCGAGAGCAGCGCCAACAACGACAAGTCGGCGAACTTCCAGTGTGGCTCCATCCGGTAGCGGTTACTCCATAATAATGAAGAATTGAACCGATGGTTTCCAGGATGAACGGCAACTTTGCAGAGATGAAGCTCGGCGTTTACACCTTCTCCACGACTGCCCATATCCAGAACGTGCTTTTCTGGTCGTGGAAGGACCAGACGGTGAACTTCTATGCTGGTGTGTCTTTTTTTCCCTTTCGTTTGGCGGGCGGCTGACCTGATATAGGCACCGCGACGCTCCTTTTCAACGAGAGCATGTATGCTAAAGTTCGCGAGGCAATTATGGACAGACTGGGCAACAACATGCTTGACTTTATTGACAACGTGCCCTTGTCTTAGACTTGTAGCAAACCGTAATCCAGAGTGTAAACTTGGACCTCGCAAAGTGTACTACCGAAATTTGAACCAGTTGTGCGACTTGTTATGTCTAGACCCAGCTTGATCGATGCATCCAAGATTCCCAAAAGTCGACTTCGCCCCCCCCAAAGAATGCACTTCAAGCATTGATTACATTTCGTCTATTTAGTCTCAAAAATCAGTATGTCTACAACGTCTAGTATGTGGTTTTGTATGTAATGCGGGACCAAAAAGAGCAAAAAGCACGACTACTGGACACGCCCAAGCACCCGCGGCTGGCTGACGTCAGCCATGTTGATGAAGATGTCGTCGGCGGGATGCCTGTAGAGCGGCGCGCGGAGCCGCTTCTGGTCGAGGTGGTGGCCGATAAAGCCGATGCTTCGGCCGAGCACGAAGAGGCCGTTGAGTGTGCCGATCTTAATGTACTCGTCGGCCTCCTCGGGCGTGAAAGCACCACTGTCGCGTAGCAGGTCGACGAAGCAGACCGCAATGCACCCGTCGACGTTCAGGATAAGCGTGTCCTTCTTCGCGGTGGTGACTTTCTCGACCGCAAGAGCATAGTCGAGCAGGCTGTGGCTCGGGAAGTGCTTGCGGACGTATTCCTTGACAAGCTCTACTCGCAAATCGGGGTTGTTGACGCTCTTGATCTTGTGGCCAATACCAGAGACTGGACAATACATGTCAGTGTTACCAAGGCAAAAGAAACTTGGAACATACTCAGTTTGTTCGCCTTGCGCGAGTTATCGACGAATTCACGTGGTGTCAGACCCGTGTCCCGAGCTTGGGAGAACATAGAGGCGGCCTCGTCAAGCGCACCGCCAAATCGGCTTCCGATGGTGAGGAGACCAGAAGCGAGAGAGGAGATGAGGTCTTTGCCCGCGCGAGAGGCGACGATAGTGTTCATGGCACCAGACACGGCAGGCCCGTGGTCGGCGGTAAGCATGAGCACCATTTCGATGAATTTGGTGGCCCACGGCGGCAGACGACGCTTGAACCACAGCAGACTCACAACACCACCAACACCGATGTCCTCCTTGAACACATCAGAAATACGCATGCCGGCGTAAAGCAGTTCTTGGCCACGCTCGTCAGAGATGGTCGAGATGAAAGCAGCAGGTTTGCGAATAAGACCGAGTTCCTACAAGGTAAATCAGTATAAAGCAGCCAAAAAAACAGATAAAACTACAAACCTGAGCCCACTTGTAGTCCATAGGGATGACTGGCGGGTCCATCTCGGCCTTGGGAACGATAACACCCTTGGAAACAAGACCATCATAAGTGTCTTTCAACGCCTTGGGGAGCTCCTCGAAGGTAGCAGGAACGACGAAACCAGCAGCGCGCATGGCCGAGTTCTTCGCATCAGCCGTCTCCATCTCCGAATCAGCCATACTTCCAGCGTGGCCAAACTGGACTTCAGTATCGAACATCTTGGCGCAAGTTCCAATAGCCCAAGCAACGATGGGTTTGGTGATGCGGCCGCTCTTGACGGCCTCGATGACACGGTATTCCTCAACACCACCGACTTCACCGAGCAAGACAAGCATCTTGCAGTTGGGGTCGGCCTCGTACCGCAACAGATGGTCGATGAAAGTTGAACCGGGATAACGGTCACCACCAATGGCGATACCCTCGTATGTGCCGTTGGTGACGAGGGAAAGGATGTTGTTGAGCTCGTTGGACATGCCTCCGGATTTGGAGACGTAGCCAACAGAGCCAGCGCGGTAGAGCTTGGACGAGATGATGTTGTCCATCATGCCACCAGAGTTACCAATACGGAAGCAACCAGGCTTGATACCACCAACAGTGGCGGGGCCGATAATCAAGACACCCTTCTCCTGGGCACGGTACAGCAGATCGCGGGCATGTCGTTCAGGGACACCCTCTGCGATGATGGCAATGCTGCGGATTTGGGAAGAGAACTTGAGGATGTCGATGGTTGAAGAGTAGACACTTCGGGAAGAAGCGAAGTTGACGACAACATCAACGTCAGGGTGTTTGGCGACAGCCTCGTCAATGCTGGTGTAGACGGGAAGAAGGGTTTCCCGAGTTCCCCAGTAGAACTTCTGGATGTGGTGGCCACCGAAGGGGTAGATCATGGCAGCAACACTGGGTGTCTTACGACCACACGAGTAATCGAAGTCGAGCATGCCCTGGATTGCACGGGGTTGGAGACCGAACACAAAGCTGCGAGTAGCGTCATCAAACGGACGATAAGCTGGGCGAGAACCACTCGGGGCTTCAGTGTCGAAATGGACAATCTGGTCGTTGGGTTGTGTTCGTTCACCGGAAGGATGGATGGTGCCAACAGCAGCCGATTCGGTAGTCTCGGTGACCTTGACATCGGTAGCAGCAGGAGTAGTGGTGCCAGTGCTGGGGATTGGGACAGGCTTCTTGGTGAGGTCGATACCAAGAGCAATGGGGACGATGTCGGTAATGTGTGTGTCAGGGCCATAGACCTTGATCGGAACACCTAGGCTCTCTCCGAGCAAACGCATAGCACGGAGACCTTCCTGGTAGTTGGGGCCACCACGACGAACGTAGATCTTGACATTGTGGTTAACAAGACCAGTCTTGAACTCCTTCAAGGCCCGGATGATACCTTAATGCACATTAGACTGAGTCATCAGATTATCGCCTATAGCAACACACCCTTGAAAGTAGCAGCAACGTTGGTGAAGTTGGCGATACCACCACCAATGATGAGGATCTTGCCTTGGGGATGTGGAGTGCCACGGGTAATCAGATCGACTATCAATCGCGATTAGATAACGTCAAGATGATAAAAATAAGCCACTCACTGATGGTGCGAGCATATTCGTATGTCTGGCCCTCCGTCGGAGCACCACTGTATTCGCCGTAGTTGGCCAGCTCACCAGCGAAGCCATGGGCAGCAATAGCATCGGAGTAGACGACACTAGCGCCACCACCAGCAACCATTGTCCAGATACGGCCTTTGGGGTTGAGAACCGTCAGCTTGAGCGACGCGCCAGTTGAGGCATCCAACTTTTGGATGTATGCCTCCTCGGTAGTCAAGTCACGGCCGAAGGGAGCGGGGAAGACCATTGGTGGACCACGGTCAGTCTGAACACCACCAGCCTTCTTCGCGTCAGCGGCTTTAGGGGCACCAAACGACTCTTCGTAGAGCGTCAGATCGCGAGCAACAGCCCACATCGGACCACAGATGCTCTCCGCAGTTTGATCGAGTTTGGCGGCCATGTCAAGGAAGTGGATTTCACCACCATCGAGACAAACAAGAGGATTGATTTCGAGATAGGTGAAGTGGAGGTGGACGTAGACGGCGTACAGACGGAGGATGAAGTCGGTAAGGGCGTCTTTGTTTTGTTCAGGAACGGCACCGAGTAGAGTCGATTTGATAGTGTCACGAGAAGGGAAGGTGCCTGAGGGAGAAAGAACGGAGACAGGGAGATTGAGGCGCAGGGCTTTGGAGTCGACATCACCGATGTCTACACCACCTTCGTGGGTGAAGAGAATGGCATCGCCTTCACGGCCAGAGTTGATGCAGACGTAGTATTCGGTGTTGGAAGGGTGGGGGAGGAATGGCTCGACGATGAAGGTCGTCAATGTGCCTGTTGTGTGCTCGACCTATGATCGAAGACAAGAAAAACAGAACGTGAGACAAGAAAAGACAGGAGATAGTATCAGAATGCCGACCTTGACGGGTTTGCCTGCGCGCTCTTTAATCCAAGCTTTGGCACCATCCGTGCCTTCCCAGGTTTTGTTGAGGCCGAGGAGACCAGCTTTACCACGACGCTTGATGAGCATGTCGGGTTTGGCGACAAGTTTTGTGGCAGAAGGGTCAATCCATCGTGGTGCAATGAGGTACTGGTCTGAGAAAGGCAAACAATAAGAAGAGAGAAAGAGTACTACATGGAAAAGGAGTACCATCGAAGACACCCTCGCTCCATCCGAGCTGAGCGACGCGAGGCTTGGGGAATTTGAAGTCCTTGTTCACCGAAGGATATGACGCGGTCGGTGGGGGGGCAAGCGGGAGCCAATGCGCAAGAAGGAGCTTGGCGTCGTACTCGCGAATGGGCTTGGATGCCATGGTGGTGGTAAGTGGAAGAGAACAAGAACGAACGACGCGTCTTTTTCTAGTGCCCCATCATTTTGGTACCCCAAAGATGTTGGCCGACTGCTATCAGTGTTTTTTTATTGGTCGTACGAGCCTCCACTGGCCTCATTTTGCCCCAAGCATCGATAGCCGGAACTTTCATCTGTCCAGAGCCTCCTCGAGGACAACATGTGGCGGAGAATGCAAACACCAATCAAAAAAATTCCCAGGTTCACTCAAAATCGCTGGCGCGAACGATAACACGCGTGAAATGGCACCCCCGCTGTGAAGAAGAAGTGTCTGTAGTTCACAGCAAGGGTCTATGGCATGGGTACTACTTGACCAGCTTCGATCGCGACTGGTCAGCTGATAGACACGGTCTTTACCCTCTCCATCGATTCGCCCACCCCCGCCGCTCCAATCCATCCATCATGTTCAGAACCCTCCCCATTTTTTCCGATCTTGAGTCAATCTAACGTAAAGCAGAGGTCGTGGCGTCGTTGAGGGGGGAGAGATGAACGGTACTTAGTGTGTTGAAGCCTTCATTACGGCCGCTTGTCAATGTGGCTGATTTCTTTGCCGGCCGTTGTGGACCATAACAGCCTTCCGATAGCCCCCAAAAAGTAGGACATTGGGAGCGGGCAGCGAACTCGAAGATGCTCGTCAGAAGCAAATTGGCAGATCTCGGGTCACAACACCGTTCTCTCTATAAAGGCAAAATCTCTCAGAGTCAGCTGTCAAACGCAGATATAAAATCTTATAACGATCTCTTCCCCAAGTTATTATCTTATCAAACTTGACTCTTCCATTCTTGAGCTATCTTCTCCAGTTTGTCCACCACAACTTTCAAGTCCCGGTCGACATCAACGCGCCACGTTCCCACCGCAATACGTGCAACTTGGACCCCTTGCCAAGACATGCCAGAGACGTGAATCTGGTTGTCCGAGTTGATCAGACCAACGAGTTGTTTGTTCATCTCGTCGTCTTTGGCGCGGAAGAGCAGCACCATATATACCTCCTCGAGCTTGTCATTGGGAAGCAAGTCGTAGACGGTTGAGTTGACGATGTAGGCCGCAAGGCGGCGTGTCAGCGCAATTTGGCGTTCAAGGAGAGCTTGGTACCAGGACCGCCCGTAAGCGACCAGAGAGGAGTAAACGGGTAGAGCCCGGAAACGACGGCTGTTTTCGAGTCCGATATTCAAGGGAGATAGTATGGAAGACAACGCGGTAGCCAGGTAGGCCGCATTGGGATTCCGAAAGACTTGTTCTTGTAACTGAGCGTGTTTGCTGAAGAAGAAACCACAATCATATGGACTCTGCAATAGCTTGTGGCAGTCGCCGGCGATTGAGTCAGCCAGCTCGAGATTTGAGACTCCGCTTCGAAGACGACTGTATTCCTTGGACTGAGGAAGTATACGAGCTTGCAAGCCAAATGCTTGATAAGGCGTTAGTTGCATGAGACAATGCAGGCCTGTGAACACACCTCCATCAACGTGAATCCAGGCACCGTATTGGTCTGCTAGAGCCCGAATATGCTTCATGTCTTCGCCATCTGTGGCAAACTTGCCAGAACTGACTTCACCGGCACTGACCGACACGATACTCGCACTTCCATTGGCTAGCTTTGAAGCCAATGCATCCAGATCGAACCGCCAGGGTTCTTCTTCGTTGCGAGGGAGGACGACCACTGATTCTCTGCCGAGACCGACAACCGATGCGGCCTTGTAGAGAGACGAATGCGGGCAGGTGGTCAGAACTTGGATATCTGACACCCCAGCATGGGAACACGCCTCGAGAAGACCGAGCTCAGCGATGCTTGAGTTCACAGGACGTGATTTTCGTCGGCCTGCTTCTGCCACAACATACTCCCTTCCTAAAGCCAGACCCAACAGGTTGGATGCTGTTGCGCCAGTCGTGAATATCCGGCCAGCAAAAGTATCTTGATCAAAGTTGAGAAGTTGTTGGAGCAGTCTGGAGTAACAAGGTCAGAAAGTGCATAATCCCGCAGAAATCACGCACCGCAATGTTGTCGCCTCGAGAGTGGTGGCGATAGACTCGTTCGGGAGGTGAACCGCCACATTCTGATCATACGTGCTGGCTACCCACTCTGCAAACAAAGCGGCATCTGTAACTCCACCAGTCGTGTAGGCGAAATAGGTGGCGGAGCGGCTTGAGGAAGTGAATCCACCAGCAATGTCCTTCAACAGATGCTCTTTTATACTCCCTAACCCACAGCCTCCCTCGGGTAGCCGGGTGATTAGCGCATCGCGAGCCGTTGCGAGGGTGCTTTCGTCGGGAACGGCTTGGTGAGTCTCTTCATTCGTCCAGTTTGTCATCCAAGTCTTGTAGGACCACGTGGGCTTGCTTCGAATTTCCAACTTCAAGGTGTCGTGAGCCGTCTGAGAGCAGAGTCAGGCCACAAAAATTTGTGGCCGTTTCACGACGGGAAATTGGAACTTCAGTCCATGGTTGTTGGAGGAAGACGATGATCTATCAATGATTTGATCACAAAGTTCAAGGCATTGAGGCTACTAGACATGAACAATAACTTCAATAAAGCGTGGATCATGGGTAGGACGATAAAGGGGCAGCTCTAGTCACTAGCAATTTACAGAGACGATGCCCTCTGATATATGGGTGGCAAGACGGTCTTTGATACTCTGACGTGCATGTGCGTAAACTTGCGCGTTGAGAACAAATACGGACAATTCTGCGAGCGTGTCATTTACCTGGATTACCAAAGAAACTAGTCTTACTCACGGAGGTGCAGCTCCAGGTCATTGTCGTCCTGTGGGTGGAAGAAAAGAGCGTCGTCGATATCATGAGAGCGATAGGCACATATCAAGCTGGTGAGCAGCGGTGCATTCGAGTTGTCGTGGCTGCGACTCGGTCATAAGCTCGAGCGGGAAGAGAAGCTTGGCTCACGAAACCGCCGCGATTTGGAAAATAGCTGAGGTTTTGTCGTCAGAAATGGCCATGCTGTTGAACAGCTTTAATGCATCGCTGTTGGCTTCAAGCCGCTCAAGAGAGCGAATGGTGTTGATAAGTCGGTTGACCACATCGCGAGAAGCGCTGTCGGTACTCTCAAGCCAGTGGATAGCATAATCAGCAACCGATGATGAGACTGCATGTCTAGTTGTTTGCCTGCGCTGAAATCAGTGTTGTACGGCGAGGTCAAACGGACTGTTCCGTACAGCGACGTATGACTTTGGTCCACCCATCCAATCACAGCGAGCAACTCCTTGTAGCGAGAGACCCACTCCTCATGCTGTTTTTTCGTGGCAAGCTGTACAAACAGAGTCGAGTGGAGCACATCGAGCTGGATGAGACGGTGAGCATGTGCGTGAGTCCGGTGGGGTGAAATGCGCACTATCGTTTGCTCGGAAACTCCGTCGTCGTGGCAGATTGCAGAGCGGTGGACAACGTGAAATGCGGTCGAATGGCCATTTTCATTGCTTATATCATGACCTCCATCTTCATGAAAGGACATGGCTAGAGAGAGCGAGCGGCGCGGGGTTACACTTTCCATTCTTCGAATTCCTTCGTCGGCTCTTTGGATCATTTTCCCAATTCATCTTGGTTTTGAAGCTTTGACATGCTTCTGGCCTAAGCCATGCCTCTTCTTCCGCTCCGCGTATCCTTTCTCTTGCTTGACGTCAGTGCAAACCGTTGAGCGCATGAAAATCCAGTAGACATTTGTTGGGCAAAGCGTTGTTGACTGGAAAAAGTTGGATTCAAAGGAGTTACAGTGTGACTGGAAAAAGTTGGATTCAAAGGAGTTACAGTGTGACGCGCCGGCGACATCACGTGAAACACATTATTCCAACCACTCACTGCCAGCAGTGAGCACTCGGGATACGAGTATTTAATCTCAAATGCACTCGATCTTCATTCCCGTACTTCTTACGAATGGCCTTGGCTCAACTGCACAAGGCAACTCTGAAGTCTTGCCATCAAGAACTTGAATGCCGCATTCTGGTTGGTGAGTAAGCTTCATGTGAGTGTTTTCACGCTCATGTCTCTCAGCCTGAACGACTACGCTGCCTCAGTCGAGTCCATACTACTTGCACAGGATCATGCCGCGCTGCCCCCTCACTCCGCTATTCAACGTGCCGAGTTGTCGTTGCCAAAGACATTACCTGAAAGTGGCCTCGGATTTGAACGGATCAAGCAACATCTAGAGGAAGATATTGTCCCCGCACTAAACGGAAGCTCGCTGAGCGCAAATTATTACGGTTTCGTAACGGGTGGCGCAACGATGGCGTCGTTATTTGCGGACTGGCTTGTCAGTGCGGTCGATCAGAACCCTCAAGTCCATTCCCCAACGGAGACGATTGCGAGTGATGTGGATCACGTAGCACTGAGGTATGCAGTATTCTCCAGATTGCGGGTTTCTAACTCTTCTAGACTGCTTCAACAACTTCTGGGGCTAGACGAAAACCTGTTCAATGGCCGAATATTCACGACTGGCGCCACCGGTTCAAATATCCTTGCGTTAGCACTGGGTCGTGAATATGTTGTGGCCTCAGCTGGCCGTCGACTGTCTCCACCAACGAACACAAGCATCGCGCAACTCGGGGTCTTGAAGGCCTGTAAATTGGCCGGCGTCAATAGAATCCAAATCCTCTCTGCAATGCCCCATTCGTCGCTCATCAAAGCAGCATCGGTTGTCGGTCTTGGACATGCAGCAGTCATCACATTGCCGCTGAGCGTGGAAGAGCCCTGGAAATTCGATCTGGCCGCCGTAGAAAGGCACCTCAAGGCTGCGAATGTCGCAAGCATCATATCTGTCAGTGCAGGGGAGGTTAACACTGGCCGTTTTACTACTTCCGGAGACGAGATGGTTAAGTTGCGCGCTCTGGCAGATGAACATGGGGCTTGGCTTCATGTTGATGCGGGTGTGTCTATTTCTTTGCCACAGCGACCCGTTTACATAAAATATGACAGCTTTCGGTCTTCCTGCTTTGGTCCTCCCACAACGTCCCGAGTACAAGCATATCATTGAAGGTGTCAAATTCATCGAGCTGGCTGACTCCATCACTGGCGATCTCCACAAAAACACAGTGCAGGTTCCTTATGACTGCGGAGTTTTCTTCCCTCGTCATCTGGCTTTACAGCAAACCGTTTTTCAAAACGCGCCCTTGGTCGTTCCAGACCATGGGGAAATCCCATCCGCTCATAATCTCGGTGTCGAGAACAGCCGACGAATGCGCGGACTACCAGTATATGCCTCGCTGCTTGCGTATGGCCGGATTTGGCACCAAGAGGTTATCGAGCGCCAGATCTCTCTCGCACGGACAATCGCGACATAGATTCTCCAGTCAGCGGCATACGAGTTGCTTCCTGGTCCTGAGATCGACAAAGTCTACATGATCGTGCTCTTTTGCGCGAGAGACGACACCTTGAACAGCCAGCTTACCGCGAAGCTGAACGAGTCCGGCATCATCTATGTTTCTCCCACCTCGTGGAACGGCAGAGCTGCGGCCAGAATTGCCGTCAGCAATTCACGTGTGGAGGTGAAGAGGGATGTGGAGAGGGTCATTCGAGAGCTTGAACGCGTCTCAGCCAAGTCGTAAGCACCAGGAATCTGTAAGTATTTGGGAAGATCTGGAAGGACTTGAATTCAACCATAACGAAGGAGCTGACTAAGACCTCTCCGTCTTCAATTGCAGTGCGTCACCCGAAAGAATGGCTCGGAGCCAACATCCAACAAACGGTTACGAACCCTGATATTGCCCAGTTTTACACCCTTCAGGTTTGATTCCGCTTTACGTCATCTCCGAGCCAAACTTTTAATGGCCAGATCCAGCAACGCTGATGTTTGAGCATGCAGAGAATCTTAGTCTAAGGCTGCTGAGAACAGCGGCTCACACGACTCAGAATCCCTCATGGTAAGTAAATGGAAGAAGTGGCCTCGCTTACATCAGCCACCATCACGTTGATAAGATAACAGCTGATAACCAGCTACTTAGAATACGACCGAAGGTTGACCCAAGGAGGCGATTGTGGATTGAAAGACAGATAGTTATGAATGATTAGAGCTTCCAGTCCTTCCGCCAGCTACACAAACGAATCAACACAGAACCAATTATTTCAAGGTTGGTCGGAAGCGAGTCCGTTCGACGAGGAGAGTTGGCTCAGCAGCGGGACAATACGCTGGTAGTGGGGTGAAAGATAGAGCACGAGTGGCCAATAGCAGCTTCACGGCAATTGGCGGCAGGCGCGTCATATTCGCTATGATCCGGGGGGACTCGGAGAAGAGTGACGGGACGACTCGGATGGAAGGCATTGGAAGAAGCGAGAAAAGGTACATATGCAGGTAGGCGACAGCCACCTTGGCAGGGTAACGTATAAAAGCTCACAGGAGGTGGGCTGTTGGCCAACTATGCAACAACTCCCAACACCAGCGCCGTCAGTCACAGGACTGCTTCTTGCTTCCAACGCCCATCTTGGCGTCAGCCCTTACCCTTCTGGGTCGCCCTCTGCTGCGACCTCGGTCACCCGCGTCGATGTCGACTCTGACGACGACCCGACTGATGTCGTAGAGCAACAACAGCCCCAACCAGAGTCGCTTCAGCCTCAAACAACGCTTATGTTTCTTCTGGCCTCTGGCAGTCGCTGTACGCGCTCATACGAGCTTCACACGACCATTCAGACAGTCAAGAGCACACTGTGGAACTCATGGCCGTCAGGTAGTAGTCTTTACGCTATCCTCTCTGATCTAACCAACAATTCAGACTGGCCAGATAGACCGCCACGATCAGCATGTCTCCGCATTCTTCACTTGGGCAGAGTGCTGCAGGATGAAGAGCCGCTATCGAGTGCGTCCCTTATCTCCCCCCATTCTTTGCTCCCCTCCAACTTCCATTTTTGTAGAACTCGGATTCCCCTCTGGCCCTGAAACCGCCCCTTCCCCGACAATCGTGCATTTAGCGATCTCTCCGTCTCCTTCTCGTCGGAGTCCCAATAATGGAGACGAAGTCGGGGGTTGTCAGTGTATTATCTGCTAGAGTCAAGCCTTCTTCGGAACGACTATATGGCCGGCTCTTCGAGTTGAGGGCGCTTTGGCGGAGGTTAGACGGGTCGCGTGTCGAGCAAAGGGCCAGTCGGCGCCTATGTAACTCGACGCTGGCCCATACGAGTAATTCGGCCTTGTGCATTCCTATATGCCAATATATCGTCGTCCCATCATGCTTCCCAGGCGCTTCTGTTGCAGACGGGTCAGAAGTCGATTCGGGATGCATGTGTTGCTGGACTTCGCTTTCCGTCCTTCTTTCTTGGTATTTGTTGCAGTGCTGATATTTGTTCCGTCTTTGTCGACAACACTTCCCGTGCCGACGTATGCAGTCAACATATGCGACGCTGCTTTGGAAGGAGATCCACTTTTCGTGAGCTAACTGTGACATGAATAGCAAGGGAGCGGGCACGGAAGAGCTGCAGGGAATGTGTTTGTGAAATAATCTCTGCTACTACTATTCTTCAGTCCTGTGCACAATGCTTGAATCAACCCTGAGGCCTGATCATGAGGCGAACATTTCAGAGTGTCTTCACTAGCTTCACTCAGCTTCACTCAGCTTCACTCTGTGAGTGTGACCACCTAAGTCACACTCACCTCTCTCTCTTCAGCGCTTCAGCTCTCTCTTCCGAGTCTTCGAAGTCATTGTCATCAAGTCCTATGAAAACCAACATATCCGTATTTACAAGTGTTCTACTATTTCTACATACTAAATTCCTCGATTAATTTCCTGCCATAACTCTAGTTCTTTTCCGTCTCCTCTGTTGCTAGAGGATGAGCCGCGACTGGGGTCCGTCCCAGCTGTATTCTCTGGCCTTGCCATCGCCCTGCCACCACGTGCTCCCGCAGCTGCCGGGGCGGGAACAGCCCTTGGCGCTGACGCGGAATAGCCGCCATCCCCGCACGCTCTGATGGGTTCTCTTGGGCAAAGGGTTGTCTTGCAGCAACGCCCACGACTTCGGGGTCGTTTTGTTGGGTGGTTTCTGGAGAGGGTGGCGGAGCTACGGGGGCAGCAGGCGAATCAGCAGAGGCAGGCGGAAATCCAGTCATCTCCTCGTTCATTCCCTCTACATCATCACCTGGCCTTGTTCGGCCGCCCTCTTCGTCGTCGTCGTCGCCAGCAAATGGATCTTCCCGTGCCTTCCCTTTCCCCTTTCGGTGCCTATTACCACTAGAATCTTCTTGCTGGACACAACCTGCTTGTCGCGGAGCGGGCGTTGGAGTTGGATGGGGGTTGAGAATAGCTGATCCAAGCGAATAACCTGCCGAAAAGGTGCTTCGAGAAGGCGACGCGAATGACAACACAAGCCTCATTATTTTGGGCTTGCGAAACCAACTTACGGCTCTGTTTGGCAACACAGAGCCTGGACTGTCGTCATTGGTCCCTGGCGTAGTGTCGACCGGACTCGTTGGGTTGGTTGCAAGTGTGCTTGGACCAGCAGTTGAAGGGCCGGCCCTGTTTTCACCGAACTCAGTCGCCAACCGGCTTTGCCGTATCGCCCATTGCAGCTCCTCCGCCTCCTGTTCTTCCAAATCCACGGCATCTATCACCACCTCATCATCTTCCATATCTTCCTCTTTTGCTTTCCCTTTACCCTTGTCACGCCGAGGGATTCTGCCCGCGTCGTCGTCTGATTCATCATCGTTGTCGTCTGCCAAAGCCTCCTCCTCTTGGCCCCGAAGTTGCGGAGCAGGTGTTGGTGTTGGGTGCCCAAAAACAGAACCCAGCGAGCTGCTGCTAGGGAAGAAGTTTGGCGGCCATGTAAACACAAGCGACATGATCTCGGGTCGATGGAACCAGCCCGCTGGCCGATTTGGAAGAACAACCCTTTCTCCCTCGTCACCGATAGCTTCTTCTGGTTCGTCGTTGGTGTCATGGTCACCATCAGCAACGCCAGTCTGCAAGACTAGCCCTTCTTCGAGTTCGCCCTCTGGCATTACATCAGCTACACCATCATCACCCACCCGCTCGGCTTCTTCCGGTTGTTCGTGCTCTCTGACCCGCGCTTCCAGTCTGGATATCTTGTTTCGTTGCTGGCAGATATAAATCAGAGCAATGACCAATGATCCTGCTAGGTGATTTTGCCGCAGAAAGTGCGCGCTTTCTCGAGGATTGCGCACTACCCATGCAATTGAGCCTTGCCAAATAGGAATTTCGTGCTGTATGCGAACGGCTTGGTCCTCTGCAAATCTCTGAAGCACTGCCGACGTTCTGTCCTCCAAGACCTCCCACAAAAGATCATTCCCCCCTTCCATGTCGTCTTGGGATGAGAACAATAGAGGGAGTGCAAATTGATGGTCGGGGAAGAAGATGTGAGAGGTGGTTCCAGAGTGGGGGAAGGATTGGAGGATGTAGACGTAGAGTGGGGCTCTGGCGTCCAAGGCGAGTCTTCCTTGCCACATCTCGCTCATATCTTGATGGAGCAAGCACAGACGAACCGACGGGGCTATCAAGCGTGGGCGACGACCGAGGGGAGCATTTCCATGGCGAGGCTTGGGGGAGCGACTTCGAGAGGATTTAGCAGCTGGCGTGACAATGGCGGGCGAGAACGTTGGCGGGTTCACCGCGCAGGCATTGCCGGTCCACAGACAAGGGGTTGCTGGTTCAATACTTCTTGGAGTTTGGACGGCCGCGTTCAAAGCAATGAAGAGGACTGGCTGCAGCCCCTGGAGGACTGCGACGACGACGAAGAAGACGCGTTGCAGGACCAACGGGTTGGTGAACATTGGATGAAATAGGCCAGCGAGCGTTCTGATGTTTTAATGTGAGTGATACCTTGTCGTTCATGGTTGGCTGAAGCAAGCATGGCGAGATAGACGTACGATTTGTCACTGCAACTTCAAGGCGAGGCTCTTTTGGGCGAGTTTTTTTTGGAACACAGCGGTTGTAGAGAAAGAAGAACGCTGCTCACATAACCACACGTGAACGCGGAAGGGTCAATCAAGACACGCATCACAAGTCACCGTCACGATTGGACTTGTTTACGCCCACCATGCCTTCGAGTCCATTTGCGCTTTTCAGCTTCTCTCAGCCGGTTATTTTCCGCTTACAAGCCTTCTTCCTCGGTGCGAAGATAGTATCCACTATTTTCTCAACCTACCAACTCTTCGCCACTGAAACCACTCTGCCACTCCCAACCTCACTTCCCGTGAACGTTGAGGTCCCCACTCAGACATATCCTGTCTACTTCGTCCCCACACCCTGCTCTTTTTACGTTCCCACAACGTCCATCCAAAGTGCCACAGCAGCCACACTTGTCGTTGTCTTTGGGGTAATCTCTGCGGGACTTGGAATATGTCGTGGATATGGTTGGCAAAGAGGTCGTTTGTGGACCATCATGGCTGGCTTAGCCACGGCTGCGATTCTTAAGCGCTTCCCACTTGAATATCAATTCGTTGCCCATCCTGATTTGAAGCGTGTTCTCATCAACCACCCATTCAACCTCACCGCATGGTTCCTTGCCTTCAGCGTCCGCGGTTTACGTTTCTATGCAGCGAAGGCGTGTTGGTCTACTCTGGTCGCAGCCTTCAGCCACGTTGGATGGATTGTTTTTGTCCAAGCGACTAGAAACCTGTTTACTTGGCGTCATTACATGCCACGAATCGCCTTAAACCTCCTAGACCACGCTTATGTGACTCATCTCCTTCCACTGTCCGTAATGCTCTGCCTTCCAGCCCTGCGCCCACTCTGGTGGATTCTTTACCAATACTCGGCTGACTGCATATGGGGGCCACCCACCATCGAGCGTTTCAATGAGATTCTTCTCTGCATTCTGCATCGTCGCGAGGTATACTTTGGATGGAGTCCCGCTGTATCTAACGTGCGTTCTCATTTCCACTGTCCTATTATCATTGATGTAGGTTATAGGCTCTCTTGACCTCCGGACTCCTCGTTACTCTCCGGGTGGTGCTGCTTGCTGTCCAGCTGTTGGTCCACACCGCGGAAGCAGTCTATCTTGTGGACGACTTGCCACGTTTCATTCTGGGCGGCTTGTCGAATGGGTTTCTGATCTATTCCTTGTCCATGGCAGAGACTTCGAAGTACAACCTGAACATACTGCAACTGGTGCGGAATAAAGATGTGTCTTTCTGGGATGTGGAGAAGCACATGTTCCTTGTCATAATGGAAGAGATGAAGCGCTTTCGAAGCAAACAACACGAAGACCTCGTTGCGTTAAGACAAACAGTCAGTCAGGTGGCGATGGAGAGCTATGGTCTCTGGATGCGGCTGGGTCTTACTCACCTAATCGTATGTCATCTCTGGTCTTCAATGCCCCAGTTCATTTCTTGCAGGTTACGATTACCCCAGTGGTAGTCTTGTTTATTTATCACGATCTGGTGCGTGTCGCTGATCATATGAGCGTCAGAGTCTGGACTAACAGAATTCTCAGATTCCATTTACTCGTCACCTCAAGTGGAAATATCGAGTTTGGCGCCGACGTCGTCACCAGCGTATGTCATTGTCTCTCCCTTCTATCAATGGCTTGTACTGACTTAGCGCAACAGAAGTGATTGAATAGCGGGTGGCGTGGTCAGCGAATGAGCGGAGAGCAACGAACGACGACCTTGCCGAATATCCATTACGAAGACAACACCGGTGTCAAGACTGCAGGGGACGCCCTACTTTCCGACTACCTAATCCGTCACCGTTTTGACGATGATTCGCCATGTCCCGCGATTGCGACCCAATCACCCGCAGCAAACTTTGCCGTTTAATTGCTTGATTTCTTTCTTCTCTTTTACCTCTGGGTTTTATGTGGTCATATCGCTCCATTCTGGGATTCGGGCAGAGAACACGGTGACCTTCACAAAGGTGCTTCGTTTCTCGCATACTTTACTACTCTAACTGACGGAAAACAGTACGAGTTGTTGATCGAGAATCGCAGGCCGACCCTCAACACTTGCAACACTCCTCCGATCGAGAATCGGTTGTCGACCGTCAGAAGCATCAATTAGTCAACGTCCATGCGAGAATCGGACCCTCCGACCCTTGAACGAAGCAGGTTTAGATTGAGAATCGACACGAGCGACGAACGAAGGCTATTCAGGCCCCGCGATCAGCTTACTCGACCGTCAAAACTTGCGATGGCTTCTGATTGTGAATCGACAACCGACCGTTGGACGCTAGCATCACCATGGTTCGTGCTCTGCTCTCTGCGTTTTTGCTTCGCTTTGTTGACGAGCTATAGGATTGATTGAGAATCGGATACGAGTATCCGACCGTCAAGAAATGGGTAGTCTTGGGTGAGAATTGGGCGACCAACCGTCAAGAGATGCTAGCGGCCATTGAGTAGTGTAGTGTAGTACCTTAACGTGAAGGATACCGATGTTTCTTTCCTCGGAGTAATAATATCATTTTTTTTCACTCAATGCGAACGCTTGATCTTATCCCGACTGTTAGTTTACACAAGCCGAAACTTGGCTTCCGCAATGATCAGTCGCAAAACTGTCCAACTGAAAGTATGGGATTTGGGTATCTTAATTGTACAGAAGTGTAGTTAAAGGCTGTATGACAACCAATCAGTGTCTTCTCGCACCAGTTCGAAAGAGATGACAGACCCGACAACCATAGCACTCACATTCAATAGCGGCATTGCGAACCTCCATGAGACGTCAGCAGTCGTCAAAGACTGTTCCCATCCGCTCACCAATTTGGACTTGCTCGTGTGCGAGAACCCGTGGCGCCAAATGGTCGCCATGCCCGGCGTCATCTTCAGCCAGACCTCGAAGGCACCGGGGATGGCAGCGATGGTGCTGTCAAGAGTTGATGGGTTAATCCTGCCGTTGTAACGATCTTCGGGTGTGCTGTACTGCTCAAGCTGCATGGTCTGCAGCTGATTTGTCGGCGGGATTGTGGCGACGAGGTTTGCCAATATGTTGATGTGGGTTTGATGGAGAGGGAAGGCAAAGTCGACGAAGATCAGCTTTGGAAAGGCAGACAGTTCAAATGGGGTGGCATGGCTGGCGATATATGGCTGCAACGACAGATGATGAGTAGTGCGGGGATAGGGTTGAGGAAATGACCGACCTCGACACGGAAATGCAGCCGCTGGATGTTGTTTCTGGGCCGCAGAGCCTCCCAAAGAACTGCTGAGTGGTTAGCACTTGAGACCGAGAGGGTTGTTAGGTTGTTGAGCGCGAAGGGAAGCGCTTCGAGCATTGCCTTTGCGAGATGAGTTTGCGCGGTCCGTGGAAGGCAAAAGGAGGCGAGCGGAATCGTCTTCGGTTGCTTTTGGTCGTTTGGACGAGTCCCTGGACGCTCATACCAGGCACACATCAAGTTTAGATGGCGGATATTGGGAGAGCAGTTTCCCCAGACTTTCCAAAAGTCTTCTTCAGATGAGAATGCGCGACAGTGAATCGTCACCGTTTGCAACGATTTCACGAACAAAAGGTCGCGCAGACCAGTGATGGCGACTCTAGCAAGACGGTCGCCAGAGTATTGGAAGGTCAAGCGCGTCAGATTGGGGCATGGCTGCACTGCCCGGCCCAGCAACGGCAGCATGTTCTGCAGGGCGTCATTTCCGGCCGTGTCGTCCCGGTGGTAGTCAATTAGCAGGTGCTGGATGTGGGGAAGAAGATGTGCATTGCGAGGAGCCAAGAGGGTGATTATAAGCGTCTTAGCGGAGATGCCTTGGTAGAATCGAAGCGTGCGAAAGAGATAAACTTGGGCCGGGTAAACCCACACTCGCGCGACGAGCGCACACGAGGAAAGGTCTTTGGTTGAGTGGTGTAGGTTCCAAAGGACGCGGTCAAGCAGCTCGGGGATGTCAAGAGGATTAGGTGTCGTCATCCTTGGCGAGTGGGGTACGCACACGTGACAGTGACACTTCTTCTCAGGCTGCAACCACCGCGATTCTGATTCCTGACGCGTCGGTTGACTCCGAGAACAACTCCACGCATACCTCTACGACCTAGCGGACCAACCCTCGCCGTCCATTGAATACGTTGTCAGAAACATTCCAGGCGCGACACTTGCTATCAGGATATGGGGTTGTTCTGGATCTGAAGAAGACAAATTACCTTGCAGTAGACGATGGAAACATGGGAACTGGGAAGGTTCCCACTCAGGAATCGAAGGCGGAGTCAGAAATTCCAGAGTTGGATCCTGTTCGAACGGGAGACTGCTGCGGGGGATCCTCGACGACAAAGCAGACGCTCGTGCGTTTTCTGTTTGGTTGCCAAATGAAGCTGAAACTTTTGCAGTTCAAGCGACACAACTCATCGCCGACTCTTTTGAACCGCTCGCGACTCTTACTGAACCCTCTCAGAACTGCCCAAATATACGTCGTCTCGTCGAGTTACTGTCTAGAAACCGAGATTCGCGCGAACCATGGCGCAAGCGAGAGTAAATCTGTTTTGGTTCAACGGGATCATTTTGAACGAAAACGACCTCAGCCCCGTGGGACTCCGCCTTGTACGCAAAGAGAAGACTATCGCGAATCCGCTGGTGGGTCTTGGTCTATCTCGTGCTCAGGCAATCGACACAAGCAGACTGCGCTCGAAAATGTTTTTGACGCTAGTGACCGTACAGACTTCCAACTTGCTTCCAATTTGAATCGAAGCGCCTTTGCTTTTGCAAGGTGCCTACTCATATTCCATGTCAAATCGTTCAAGTGATAACGCTTTTCTAACTCTCGTAAACATAAGCAAGTGGCCTTAGTTCTTCAAGAAGAGAAACATTTAAAGCAGACGTACGTTAATACTTAACAACTGTTTCACTCAACACTTATCAGTAATGCGGTCTTACAAGCAGTCTTTGATTCAGATTTTCGAGGGATGAACAAATACAAGTACAGTACGCCAAGTTATCACTGCCACACGTTTACCGACTGCTGATCATGATCACAGCAGCAGGCATGCGGGACAAGGAGAAGCGTTGAAGATGGCGCAGACATTCCAAGAAAAACCTTGCATCTCTTGATTAGACGGGCAACTTTGAGAGTATGGAACACTCACTCTTCAAGCAGCGACAATCACGGTGTCGTCGTTACCGTGGCGGCCGTTATCGTCATTGCCGTGGCGGCCATTGTCGTCCCCACCGTGACGGCGCTTTCCGTGGCGGCCATTGTCGTCGTTGCCGTGACGTCCATTGTCGTCATTGCCGTGGCGGCCATTGTCATCACCACCATGGCGGCGTTTGCCATGGCGGCCATTATCATCATTGCCGTGATGGCCGTTGTCGTTGGGCCCATCATCACCACCGTGGCGGCGCTTGCTGTGACGGCCGTTGTCGTCATTGCCGTGGCGTCCGTTGTCATCACCACCGTGGCGGCGTTTGGCGTGGCGGCCATCATCATTGCCGTGATGGCCGTTGTCGTTGGGGCCATCGTCACCTCCATGGCGGCGCTAAATGGTCATATTCAGCTTGCATCTCCCCGAGCGGACTGGGCGTGACTTACAGCAGTAAGAACATCGTCGTTTCCGTGGCGGCCGTTATCGTCATTGCCGTGGCGGCCATTGTCGTCCCCACCGTGACGGCGCTTTCCGTGCCGACCATTATCGTCGTTTCCGTGGCGGCCATTGTCGTCATTACCGTGACGTCCGTTGTCGTCTCCACCGTGACGGCGCTTTCCATGCCGGCCATTGTCATCATTTCCATGATGTCCATTGTCGTTGGGGCCATCGTCCCCTCCGTGGCGGCGTTTTGTGTGGTGGCCGTTGTCGTTGGGTCCGTCGTCCCCTCCGTGTTTGCGCTCGACAAGCTAACATTATCACTCAGTCTCGATACTAGTTCATAGCGGCGTCTCTTACCGCAACGTTGGTGAACTTGGCGCTGCGCGCTGCAACCGTTTGGGTAACGGTCACTGTACGAGTGCGGTCGTCGTTTCCGTGACGGCCATTGCCATTATCATCTCCACCGTGGCGCGCAAAGACGACAGTGGCGAAGAAAAGGAGCAAGGTAGGAAGGAATCGCATGTTTGAGTCGAGTGTTGCGTTGGAACTGAGCGTTTGCCAGTGAAGTCTGAAGATACTATCCTGGCCCATTTTATAGGTTTTCTTATTCTCTGCAGTCCCCTGTATTGCTCCCGTTGGCCTGAGATGGCGACATCTTGTGTTGGATGGACCGGTAAGTCGCCGGTAAAACAGACTATGTCTATGTGAACTGATCGAAGACGAAGCTCAACTCCCCTGGGAGTTATGTCATGCAAACTTCTATGTCGTCTTGCTTCTATTAATCGCCATTCTGCCTTACTGCACAGACTTTTCTCGCGCAGTTGGGGATCATCCTTGGGATGTGCGTCGCCGCGGCGACCTTCAATTGTGGCCGATTGTTCCAAGCACTTCGGCGAGGCAAAATTAGAGCGTGGTATGAAGGGCTGCTCCAGACAATTATTGACACTGAAGCGCTGACAGTTATTAGTTCTTTCTTTCAACTTGAAGGATCTTGCATTGTCCACCAACCACGCCCTCCAAGTCAACTGAGAATCGTCGATGGTGGGATAGCTTACCCTATGATGTCACCAACCATTGACCTTTGGAAACGCTTAAGTGACCATTTAGGACTGTGGGCTCGACATGCGAGGTGGCCTGATATCCCACGCCGCCGCAGTCCGAATGCACACAGGCTTTGTGCTTGGCAAGGAAGTTGTCCCCCGCTCTTCTCGTCCCAGTTCACACTCTCGACATTTCGCCATCCCCTTTCGTGCTCTTTTGCCCGGCAATAACATGAGGCGTTGTCAATGTCGAGAAATTTCGAAAGGCACGTTCGCCTATGCTCGAGGGCTCAGAAGATGGTCCTTGTTCCAGTCTTGTTGAAATCCATCAACCTCGATTTCTTTCGTACTGCAGGGCTGCACTTACTTAGTAAGCTGCTTCGATCATCCCATTCGTGTGTTTCCTCCGGGCCTTCCCCGCATCTTGCTTACCGTCGCCGTGGATGTGATCGCTCCGGCAATGCTCCCAACCTCTCCAGGGACCAGGGCACTACTCTTTCGGCTACTCCGCGTCCGTTCCCGTAGTCGTGTCTCAACTCTAAACTGATACCGCTGGAACCCTACTTCCATTGGATTTGGAGCTCCTTTCGTCAATTAAACCTGGAATAGACAGTGCTTCACCAGGAGACCGAGATTGGATGCTTCATCTCACCGTTCATTGCAACGACTTGTTTTCATTTGTTGTAGATCCATAGCTTTGAGAATGATATTAATGGGTCTGGTTTCTAGTCAAGTGTACAAGTGTCTACTAATGACTAGCCTCCCACACGCCAAGTCCACGCGGTCACGTGCGTCGCGTTTTAATTTGGGACTTGCGCGTTTTTATCAGTTTTGGCATGGTTTTGGCTGGACAAAGTATGAGAGGTACCCAAAAACGCGTTAATTAGCCTTAGCAAACGCGTGCTCCGGGAAGAGAACCCCATTCTGCACTTCCTTCAACATCCGTGCGTAGTCTCCCCTCCCGAAGGCAGCGCGGCGAGGGCAACAAAAAAAAAGATGACTAAGCCACTCACCGAGTGGCCTTCCCAAGTAGTCCGAGACAGTTGAGTCGACAATCGCGAGAGTATGGTGCTCAAATGCAAACTCGACCGCGGTGATGGCGCCAAGACCGTAGCCAGTGATGACGCTGGCGACTCCAAAGGCATCCGTGCCGTTGTCCGAATGAGAGGTGTTGTGGGAGATGGATTTGCAATTGGTGCTCGACGATGTTTGCCCTGTCTGGATGGCTTGCTAGTCCAATGAAGCAAGAGGCTGAGGCCAAACTAATGTCCGGCACACAGACTACCGTGTTGGCGGCGCGGGAACGACGGGAAGGTCGGCCACCAAAACCAGTGATGACACTGGTGACTCCTCCGCATAGTTGTCGCCTGTTGATGGCGGGAGTGAAGAGGGGAAGCGCCGGCAACTCGGAGCACGACAACGTCCGCCCTCCCTGGAGGGATTTCCATGCAGCGAGCGAGAAGGGTGGCAGCGGTGTGAATGATATGACAAGAGGGTGGTGATGGCAGCCAGAGCGGTGCGTTGGCTGGTCGTGCGTGAAACTCCAGGCACATTACTGCCAGTACTAGTAGAACGAGGGCGGTCAAAGGATTGTCGTGAGTCATGACTTGTTGGCGAGCAAGCATTGCGAGTGAATGAGAGGTCGGTGTGGACCGCAATGTCGGTAAAGGCAGTGAGGGTAGTCGACCATGGGTTGGGTTGGTGAAGGAAAGGTTGGCCCGCCTTAGCGCAGCGAGCGTGCCAAGTCGAATAGTCAATGCCAAACTTGACGCAATGCAAATCTGTGAAGGGACTCAATACAAACCAGAGTAAATGAGGAAGCAAATCTTACAACAGCGTTGACAGTGACTGGAAGTCGCCGTCGAAGATCACGATGTCGAGGGCCGACATCAGTGGAGCCGTAAGAGCCACATTAAGCACGAATGAAATTGTTGAATGGCGGTTGTTCAGGCCCAGCAAAGCGAGTCGGTCGAACACCGGTTGTGACTCGTTGCCGTTGGGAGTGAAGAAGATGACACGGTCGATGGGCGGATAGTATTTGGATCGTGGAGAAAGCCAATTGTGGCGCAGCTTTCAAGGAATCAGTAAGTGCACAACCAACCAAAGTCAATAGACTTACTGACAGCATGGTGGCTTGGTCACTTGCGGCGTGCAGCTGTCGCCCAGAATCCCGCATCGCTCGTCGTGACTCGCTGCAGGGAAAGTGTGTCGGATATGTCATGGGCAGGCGCGCGCGTGTTGCCGCGATGGACTAGCCCCAGTATGTCGACGTCAAGCTCAAGCTGAGCATCGTCGAGGCTGGCGTGCTTGGCGTTGGCGAAAGTCGCAAGCTGGGCTCGGCTTGTATGTGTCGAGCTCGCCGCAGGAACTTGAGAGGGCGTCGTTGCCCAAGGGGATGGTCGGGTAAGCGATGTAACTTGGCGCCCCAGTTAGGTTCAGACGCTGGCCGGCACGGAGAGGCAGTCGGGCGGTAATGGAGCCCGGAATTGACGGACTTGGTTGGCGGCCTGAAATATGATGGCGCGTGCATCAGGCGGACCACACGATGGGGTTGCAGGAAGGCGGGGTGGGGCGGCATAAAGCACGAATGAAATTGACGCGCACGCAATGCCCGAGTAGGTGGGCCGGTGCGGACTCGGACAGGAAGCCAGGGCAGCATTCTTAGCCCAGAAATGGGCAGTAGCAAAGGCGGGAGCCAGATGGTTCAATGGCGCTAGCCCGAGATGGGACTATGGCGGTGGCGGGAGTGAAGGGCACAGCCAAAGGTCGAGAGATAAACAGGCAACAGACGTGCCAAACCTAATAATGTGCCTTGTGAGTCATTGCTTATACTCTCAAACATGCTACTTACGACCATGTGCGTCGCTAGTGGATTCCCAAGACTTGGACGACTCAGCGAGCATAAACGTGGCGGGGGGACGCGTGGATGGGTGCTTTTCGAGAGGGCATAGGTGACAAGACCCGAGTACCAGCTTCCTCGACCGCCAGCAAGCCGTTTCGGCTGACAAGTCTAATGATATGTCTCGTGAGTCATCATCTTACAACAACACATTACTCACCCGTTGGCAAAATGAATGCCCTCGAGTCGCAACTGCTTGTGTTGCGGCGCTGGAGAGGCCATGACTGGAGTGCTGATGAGTACAACCCGCCGTCGACAGAGCTCAAAACGAACCAGCCGGGAGCTGGTCTACAAGCGCGTTGAGACCGTCGCGGGACCAGGGCTCGTCGAAACGGCGCTGCGAAGACAATGAGGACAAGCCCTGAGCGTTGAACGTGCAGAACCACTCACAGTGATGCAGGTTTTGCCAGAGGTAACCTTCCTTGAGGCATCGCTGGGTGGAATACGGACTTGGGTGGTGGTAGAGAGAAAAAGAGGCGACAGTGTGACTTGATGTTACTTCGCGCCTAAGTTCTAAGCGTACAAGCGACATTGTTGACGACATTGTTCACCGGGAAAAGTAGTGTTAAACTTCAGGCGACATGCGGCTGTCTTGCGTGTTCAAGTTTTGTTGAAGCAAGTGGTTGATACTTGCCTCTGCAGCAAGCAGAGGGAGGGTTGCAAACGCGCTTGGACTCGGAGACTTGCCAAGCCTTGTCGTAAGGTCGCACGTAAAGACGGTGAGCTCGTTCATGTCGTCAACATGGCGGAGAAACGGAAGCGTGTCACACATCAGTTCTTATCATGATAACAATGATGCTCCCCACATAGTAAGTAGTGTACTTACTTACCTGGAAGTGGAAAACAAAACCTGAAAGTCTCCAGTACAGTCCTCTGGCTGCTTTTGGATTGTTCCCCAAGTTCCGAAACTAAAGCATCAAATTTGATATTGGCAAGCAAATGCCGTTGTGATAGTAAATCATGAGCGGAGATCCGACTCCGGCGTGTCGCGTACGTTTGGGCGCTGCCAATGAGAATGGGTGCGGCGAGCCAAGCCCATAGATAAATGCAAATTCGGAGCG